ACCACCGGACCATGTCGTAGTACGGCCGCCAGGTGTTGTGAGCCGCCCAGAAGTTCCTGCGGCACCTGCGGGCTCCCGCCCCCGGATTGGAGTCTGTTGCCGCTTCCCCCGCCCCGACCTGACTCAGCTTCCTCCGCGGGTCGCTTATCTGACTCCGCTGCCGGGCCTTATCCGGGCCTGTCCTCGTACGGAGACCCCCGCTGCCGCCGGACTCGTGACTGGATCCGAATTCGGACCACCGCAGGGAGGGGGCGGCGGCGGCGGCGTCAGCATCGACATCGACCTTATCGCCCTCGCCAACATCGTCATCGAAGCGACCGGTGCAGCCGTTACTGACCCCCGTGTCGAGTTTGATGATGGCCGAGCAGTCGAGCAGTTCGCCGTACCCGTACTCGCCCACCTCGCCGTGCCCCGGGGTGTAGTGGCGGCGCCGTACGAGGCCTTCCGCGACAGCTGCACGACCCGCGGCGGCGGCGGCGGCGTCCTCCCCGGTCCTCGTGGGCCGCGGCGGAGCCCCGGGAGGTGGCGGCGGCGGTCGCTCGGCGGACGGCGGGAACAGCACATTCAGCTCGTACAGGTCACCGACTGCATTCAGGGCATAGCTGTACGGCAAGTCGTAGAGCTCAGGAGGAGTGCTGTATCTCCAAACCCATTCGCGTGCGTATATATGTACAGTTGCACGCAACGTACGGGTGATGGCAGTTGTCTACGTAGCTGAGACACATACATACATACATACATACATACATACATACATACATGCATACATACATACATACATACATACATGCTCCTGACCCTTGCGCTGTGTTTCGGCTTCGGCCCCCGGCTCTCGCAGCCCACAGTGTAATCTAAGTCATACACACACATACATACATACATACATACATACATACATACATACATACATACATACATACATACATACATACATACATACATACATACATACATACATACATACATACATACATACATACATACATACATACATACATACATACACACATACATAGGGACTCGTAAAACCCTTTCTTGTCCCGGATTCGGCCCTCGGACCGCTACCACCTACTTTGACTTACTACTTTGTGATGCTTTTCATCCTCGTCGTACTCATCTTTACCCCTTCCTTGGCAGCATTTCTCTCAGGGGCCCCCCCCAGGCCCCCCCAGGCCCCTCCCCCCTTTTCTGTCCACCAGCACGGGCGGCACTCACAGTTCATGCCAGGTCATGTTGCGATGCGGCTCCGCGACAGAGGACCAGAACCCCGCAGTAAGGCCCTCGAACTGGGCGGCCACCAGGCCCACGGAGACCCAGTAACGCCGGTCCAAAGACCAGAGCATGTCGCCGTCAGCGCTGCCGTCAGAGCTGGCGCCGCCACCACCAGCACCCTCTGTATCCGAATTGGGTGCTCCATCGGCGGCAAAGGCCGCCGCTTTTGCCGTATTTCCGATCATCTGGGTCGCGGTCAAAATGGCGGCTGTAGCAGCAGCAGCAGCAGCTGGGTTGGCAGATGTTGCAGTAGCAGTAGCAGGCAAAGGCGGGGTGCTCCCGCGCAGCATGGCGACGGTCCAGCCAGTGGCCCTCTCCACGTGCCGCATCATCCAGCCGTACTGCTCGTCAAACCAGTCGTACAGCTCTTGGGATGGCGCTTCTCCTCGGCCGCGGTACTCATTTAACCGGTAGTTCGTCCAGTACCTGGAGGCCACCAGAGGCACCAGGACTGGGTGTGTCTGTATATATGTATGTATGTGTGCGTTGTGTAATCCGACACCGCTGGGAGTGAACCCAGGAGGTCGCCGGGTCGCGGCGGAATCGTACATAATAAATATAAATTAATTGAATTGATGACCGATAATAATAAAATTGATAAAAGCTTACAAAAGCCTCTGGGCATTAATGAACATGAAAAAGCAGTATTTAAGACTGCTGCTTTTGAAATCGATCAAAATTGGGGCGACATGTCATACGTGTATGTATGTACGTCAGTTCGCACGTGTGTACTGCGGAATCAGAGGCCTTTGGAAATTACTGAGGGCGGTTGTTGCCCTGCTGGCCCGGGGCCCTGTGGACACAGCGGCGGGTGGGCGGGTCGGTCGTGGCAGGAGGCGTGCCGAGGCGAACAGGCTCGGAAGGGCGCCTGTGCGCGCAGCGCGATGGAAGTCCGCCCGTCGCGTGTGGTGGAGGGTTGGGGGAGAGGACCGGCACTGGAACTGGACAGCGAGGGGAGGGATGGACGGGGAGGGGCCGGGGAGCTGCGCCAGAAGACCAGAGCCCGTACACGGCGCGAAACACGTCCTCCCTCGCCCGTAAGGAGTATTACCATGTGCTCACGGCCGGGCTGCCGATCCAGGTAAAAGGACTCGTGACTTCCTATCCACAACTCCTGCGCCACCTGCTTGCGGCGCCTCTCCTAGCCCCACCTGTATAGGTGCGGTCCCTGCAGGGTGCCCTCCGCAAAGCCAGCGGCTCGGGCCTTGATGATATCTGGGAATGGCGCTGTCTCGTCGATACGGATCTCCAGTCGGTACCAGCCATCCTCGCTGTATGTGTCCGCAAACCACGTCCAGCCAACGTTCTCGTCAGGATAAGCAGCGCGTAAGGTAGAGATTATCGAAGCTGCAGTCAGCTGTTTGTGCGATTGCTGCAAGAGAGCCAAGTCCATGAGCTTGAGGCGGAAGGTGCTCCCGTGGACGTTGATCGCATAGACGTTGCCCCGCCGTAAAGTGGAAAGGTTCAGGAGACCGGGTATTCCTTCATCAGGGCTTTGGGCTGGTTTAGATGTCGCTGATAGCCTTCCTGTACTGTGGATGTCCAGACCGAACGAACGTGTAGAATAGGACACAGGTCTGGCAGGAACGATTTCGACAGTACAACTCAATGAAATGAGGAAGAGCAAGATTGTATTAAAGGTGAGCTCGGAACGTTTAGAGCACAAGCGCGCCATGGACAGGAGCTCAAACTCAGTCTGTGGCAACTTAACGTTCGTCGCCCATGACAATGAACTGTGTTTTAGGAGATGGAAAACGAAAATTGGCATACTCGCGCAAGTTTACCACTACGATCTTTAAAACCCTCAAACGACCGTTAGCTTAACGGAAACACCGAAACGATTGTAAGCTGAGAAGTCCAATGTTTGGTTAGGGGTTGTGCCTCAATAATGTATAAGTTTCTTTAAAATCTTACGATCGCGCATGAAATCACTGCAGCGGACGTAGGCCTCTCAGTTAAATCGTCGGCCTTTTCTTGGCAGATATTGCTACAAAAAGAACGGACCTTATTATAGTGAATGAACTCTTACAACATGTATCTCACTATACCTGGCATCTACGCGAGAACGCGAGTATTATGCCACCAGACGTCGGCAGGAGCTGCGGGTCCCGGAATGACAGTCTTTCCTCGCGCTGTTAGGCACCAAAATTCTCTTTGGAACAACAGAAGTATTGCAACCTGCATCCGATATAATCAATGCTTCACTGGAGCTCCCGTACAAATTTCTCGCTTCCTGTTTTGACCGTTAGATAGCTGTACATCGTCCCTCCCAAAGGTTAGCACAAACTCAAGTTCTTTTTTTTGGTTATCTTTTAGGCTGGCGAAACTTCTGATTATTGAGGATCTCTAGAAATGGGTAAATTGAAAAAGAAAACACGTAACCCAGGCGTAGGTGTCGACTTTAAGCGAGTCAAACACAAAGTTGGTAAAAAGCTCCCAAAAGCAAAAAATGAGACAGACACAGATTTTAAGTCGCGCAGCATCAACTTGCCCAACCAAGCCGTCCGGGAGGACCGCAGCAATGTCGCAGTGAATTATCAGAACCTTACATTAAAGGTATATCACAACATTCTTAAACTACGAACCTTCCACATTGACGCCTTCGCCGGCGGCGGAAGTACTTGACAACCCTGCCTTGCGTGTCACAGGAGCTGTTGAATCAGACGTCACACCACAATGACAAATCGAGGAGGCACTCGCTTGTCGGCTTGGCGGACCTGTTTGGCAGGCATCCGGAGCAGCTACGCCTCCATGCCTCGCAGGTACGCGCCGCCAGTCCAAATCTTCCCCTGCCCCTGTCGATCATAAAACGCTTTCCCTAACACCCCGTTACACACCATCCTCTGGCACATGGCGCTCACACACTTTCCTGAGACGATATCATTTCTCACTCAAGGTTTCTGGTTTCGGTGCTGCTGCTATAATATGAGCAAATGTGATGGCGGTCCCTTCCACCATCGCATTCATCCTAACCGTTGCGGTAGGTAATGGGCACGCTGGCGGAGCGCATCGTCGATGGCGACAGCAGCGTCCGATCAGCACTGCGGGAGCTACTCCACGGCAGCGTGCTGCCTCTGCTGGGCCAGGACGCATTGCGTCCCTTCATGCCCGTCGTCATGGCGCACATCTGCGGGTGAGGGATGTGTGGCGCTGCTGGGTGGCCCCCCGGTTGCCGCCCTGCCGGGCCCCCCCCCGCTGCTCTGATGTCTGGACCAGTTCTGGGTATGCGGCTAACCTCCGCCCTCCTCGTCGCCCCCCTCCTCCTCCCACTACCCACAGCGCCATGACGCACCTGAGTTTGGACATCCGCAACGACGCGTTGCTCTTCCTGGACGTGATGGTGGGTGCAACCACCCCTCACCAGCTCTGGGTAATCGGGGGTGGGGCGCCAGTTGCCCCTTGCAGCCTGCGGCTGGGCCCCAGGTGTACCCCACCCCACCCCACCCCCCTGCAGGCCTCCCCACCACACACAGATGGGACGGCATTGGGAGAGGGCCTGCATGGGAATCCCATCCCTGGCCCATATGCCACGACTTCACACTAGCCGCCCACACACACACTGGCAGATGAGTCTTGTTCGCATCTGAGAGCCCACGTCGGTATTCCCGTCCGCCTTCTGGAGGGCCGACGCCGACTGCTTTTTTGGGGGCCCCCGCTTCCTCCCTCTCTCCCTCCCTCTCTCGCGGTTCCTTTCCTGACACGGCCATGTACCACGTGTGCCATCAACCCCCTCAGATGGACCACGTACCCCAGCTGGTGGTGAAGGGCTTCTTGCCGCCCTGTCTGGCGCACTTCTGTGACATCTTCTCGGCAGCGCACAGAGGTCGGAGCATCCGAGCGCAGTCCCTGGCGGCGCTGAGTAAACTGCTGACGGCACTCACGAACTTCTTGAAGCGCGCATTTCCAGATGAGGACTCGCCCGGTGCGGCGGCGGCGCCGCCGGTTGGCGCCGCCGTGGATGCGCCGACGGCTGGGCCAGGTCCCAGCAGTGTACGGCAGCAGCAGCTGCGGGCTCAGACGCGGTCATTGGCTGCTCGTCCTGGTGCGCCGCTAGGGGCTGACCGCCTGCGGCGGCCGCAACGGTCGGCATACGAACTTCTACGGCAGTTGGACGAGCTATTTCATGCAGCCGCCGCAGCGACCCGGGCGGGGCGGAAACGTGGCAAACCCGGCGGCGGCGACGCCGCAACCGGCGGCACCGTAGATAAAGGCCGGCACAAGAAGGGCCGTGGCAGCGTCAGTACAACAGAAACAGCCGCCGCTGTTGCCAGCGGCGGCAAGGGCGTCGCAGCGGCCGCGGCGGCGCTGGCGGCAGTGACGTCCCCGGCGGCCGCAACGGCCGCGGGAGTGGAACTCTCCTCTGCCTCAGGATCCGCGGCCGCCGGGGTGCTTGGCGCGCCCACGGCGATGGCGGCGGCTCTGGCGGCAGCCTCCGACGCGCGCGCCAGCGCCCTGCGGCTGGTGTCCCTGCTCATGGATCCCTGCTGGCTGGAATGCAACCCCGCGCAGCTGGCCACGTCCCCGGAGCTTGACCAGGCAACTGCACTGGCCATGATTGTGGCTGCATGCAACAGTCTCATCCAGCGGTTGCTACTCCCACCGCAGCCGCACGACCAGCAGGTTGGCGGTGGTGATGGATTGAGCTGGACGGGGACCTACCCACCTTTGCCCCGCCAGCGGCAGCAGCAGCAGCAGCGGCAGGGTGTGTGGCAGGGGCAGGGACCTCCCCTCTTGGGGGAGCAGCGGCTGGCGCTGACGCAGCAGCTCCACGACGTGGCGGCGCGGCGTGTGGCGGCGCACTTCCCTGCCGTACTGCCGCCGGTGAAGCCGCCGGCGGCAGTGACGGAGGCGCTCGTACGGCTGAACCTGCAGAGCGCTGAGCTATTGGGCCGCTTTCTGCCTCTGCTGGCGCACTCTCGGCACGGCGTTGGACAGCCGCAGCAGATTTCCGGAGCTACCGCGGCGGCGGCGGGAAACGGCAGTGGCGGCGGCGTGGCGGCGACGGCGCTGCCCTGGGTGCCGGCGCTTGTATCGTACTATGCAGGCGCCCTAGAGCAGGGGGTGCTGCTGCCGGCAGCGGCGGGGACGTTGTCCGATGCTAGCGGGGCCGGCGCGGCGGCGGGGCAGAGCCTGTCGGCGGCCACCGCTGACGTGGTGCTGACGGCGGTGTCGGCGGCGCTGGGGCAGTTGGACGACGCCGCGGCGGCCCGGCTAATGTCGGCGGTGTCGCAGTTTGCTGCTCGGCAGCCTCCGCGGTCGGGTGCCCGCCTGGCGTGTATTCGCATCCAGCATTCGTTGCTGCTAGCTGCGGTGGCGGGTGGGTGGGTTGGTTTCCTAGGCCCTGAGGGGGGAGGGAGACCCCCCGTGGGGAGGCGGGTGGGTTGTGGGCGGTGGAGAAACCCGCGGAAAGGGGGGGGGGTGAACGCGGAGGCGCCAAGGCCTAGATGATGCCCTAGGTATGGAGTCCCCCCGCACTTGCTATGTACGGCTCTTCATGATGTGACGGTCAGGTAGCGGTAGAGCGGCACCGGCGTGGTGGGGCCGGCAAGGGAAAGGTCGCTAGAGGTGTGAATGTGTGAATGTGGGTGATTGTGCACGATTGGGGTTGAGGACTGTGTGTGTGTGTATTTGGGGAACTTTGGGGTTGGGGCACACTTTATGCGGGGTGGGGTGGGGTGGGGGGAGGGGGACTTCGTGGGGTGGGGGGGAAGTTAGGCGTTAGGCGGTTGGAAGTCGTGAGTGGAGCGCCGGAGAGAGCTCTGGACGCTGTGTTGTCCTTGCTACTGCTGCTGCTGCTGCCCCTCAGCACTCGCGGTCCACCACCACTACCACCACTACGCTGAGCTTAACGCAATGGCCACATCTTGAGGAGGTCCCCCCCGCCAGCACACATGCATATGCACATGCAAGTCACCCCACCCGTGTAACCGGCTCCATTCCCGTCGTACTTCCGCCGTACATATCACGTGCCCCACTCTCGACCTCCTCTTGCTCATCCTTGGGGTCTATCCATGTTTTGCCGCCGCTACTGCTGCTGCTGCTACTGCTATTTGTATTGCTCCACCTGGCCCCCAGGTCGTCTCTTCCTGGCGGAGGGAGTGGTGAGTGGTTGGCTGGAGCCGCTGCCCAAGCTGCTGTGGGAGGTCGGTGGGGGCTCCGCAGAGGTGTCGTACGCCGCGCTGGCGCTGCTGCTGGACGCGGCGCGGTTTGCGATACCTGGTGCGCGGGAGCCTGTCCGCGGGTGCTGTGGCCTGCGTGCTGACTTCTGCTTCTGCTACTGCTACTGCTACTGCTACTGCTACTGCTGCTGCTGCTGCTGCTGCTGCCGGTCGTGACCCCGCACTGGGGCTGTGTCGCCCGAACTGTTTAGCCCCTCCCTCCTTTCCACCAGTGCGGTCCAGGGAGTCCCGTCCGGACTACTCGCAGACGCACTGCTGGTGGTCTTTGTCGGACTTTGAGCCCCGCGATTTCCCTTCCGACATCCTTAGCTCGCTTGCGGTGGTTGCACGGACAGACACACTGACATACAGACATACACGTGCCCCGGTCTCCCTTCTGGCCCCCTACTACCCCCCCCCCGGCAGGCTCCCCCATGTGCCAGTTCCTGTCCTCCCAGCTGCAACCCCAGCTGGCGCCGCTGCTCGCGGTGCAGCTGCCGGCCAAGGCGGCGAAGGCGGCGGCGGCCAAGCTCGCCGCAGCTGCGTCAGCGGAGGTGCCCATTGTGGGGGCAGGTGGTGCTGCTGGTGAGGTGCTGGTGGTGCTTCCCGGAGCGCTATCCAAGCTGCCTGAGCAGGTGGCCGAGCTGGGGGTGGACCTCATCTACCACACGGGTGAGGGCGTTGGGGGGGGGTTGAGGGGGGGTTGAGGGACCCCTCTACCCCGCTTCCTGCACACACCCTTACCGCCAACCCTAGGCGGAGTAATTGGAAGTCAGCCCCCGGCCCCGCCCTCACCCCCGCATACATACTTACATACATACATCACGTTACCTTCCTGCTTGCTCACTGAACCTATTAACTCTTCTTTTGCCAGGACTCGTACGGCGGTTGGTGCTTTGGCCGTTGACTTGTAGTGTACACTTCCCCCTCTCCCCCCGCCCGCCAGGTGCTCTGGGTGGGCCCCTGCTCAAGCCCCTGGCCGCCGCCCTGTCCTCCACCGCCCTATCGCCCTCCCTGGCGCGGAGACTGCTGGACGTCGTCCTAGTTCGACTGAGGGACGCACCCGACCCGGCCCTGGCAGCCAGCTGGCTGCTGACGCTGCTGTTCGGACCCCAGCACGGCCTGAGGGTGATATCGCCTGAGGGCACTGACTTGACGGCCAGCTGGGCCCGGCAGCGCGCGCTGGTGGACGCGGCGGTGATGGGCTTGGGGCAGCTAGGCGGCGCTGCGCCGTTGCTGTTGGTGCTGGCGCCGCAGCTGGCGGCGCTGCCGCTGGCACAGGCGACGTCAGCGGGCGCGCGAGGCGCGCGGCTGCAGCGCTACAGCCTAATTAGGCTGTGTGCCGCCGCGGTGGGAGAGCCCGGGGGAGATAAGCTGCCACCGGCGGGGCCGCTGGCGGAGGCGCTGCCGGCGGCAGCGGCGCTCTGTGGCATTGAGGCTGGCGCCGCGGCGGCGTCAGGGGAGCCGGACGGCGCTATGGCTATACTGCCGTACAGGTCAACGTTTGGACCCGTAGTGCAACTGCTGACGGAGCGCCCGGTGCTAGCTACGGCAGTTGTACGGCACTTAGCTGCGCTGCTGCGCAGCATGGCGGGGTCGGAGGCTGTGGCCCCGGCTACGACGGTTGGCTGTTTGCCGCTCCACACGGCCGCCCTTGCGGCGCTGCAGTTGGCTCAGGCGGTGGTGAAGCTGCAGCCCGTGCGTACGGCACTGGCTGCGGCGGGTTCGGAGCGGGAGGGATTACTAGGGGCGGTTGAGGAGCTTGGAGCGGCGGTGCGCAACCTGCCTGTGGCAGCCGCGGGGTCGGTGGGGAGTGATCACGCCGCTAGCTGCGGGCTGGAGAGCCAGCGGCTTCTGCAGACGGTTGTGGACCTGTACGGCAGCAGCAAGGCGGGCGCGTGAAAAGGAGGAAGCGGGGCGCAGAGGCAACTGTGTTTGGGCGATGTGGGCTGTGTTTGGATTTGCGGCCTCCGTCAGGATTTTGATGTGGCGGTAGTGGCAGTGGTGGTGTGGTACAGTCCGGGTGATGGCCGATCAGAGCATTTTCCTTGCCGTGGGTGCCGGTGGGGGCTCCGGAGCTCCAGTGGCAGCTCATCGACAGTACCGTACGGGGTGTGATTGTATTCCCGGTCCGCGGTAGGATCGAGAACTGCGCTGTAGGGGGGGTTGCTTTGACGGGTCATCCTGGTGACGTGCCCGTTTCTGAAGGGGGAACTGTCGTGAGGAGGTTCAGCGAGTGCGAGGCAAGGGCACCTGTGCAGCCCCGGGCGCCTGACCGCTGGCTGGCTGCCCTGGCTGCGGGATTGCCTCTGTCTGCATCATTGTACGGGGAATGGGACACAGGGGATGGGAATGGGGCGAATGACCAGCTAGGGAGGAATGCGGTTTGCTTTTCGTAGTGTGTATGTATGTATGTATGTACACTGATGATGCAACAGGCACCTGAATGTACACACACACAGGGGCCCGTGTGCCCTCTTGTGGTAGTGCAACCTCCCCGCACCGGGGAATGGAATGAGGGCTGTAAACTTGCGGCGGAGGCGGTGAAGAAGGTGCGAACGAGGCCAGGTCACGTGTTACATTCTTTACCCATCGCCTTATTGCACAACGCACAGCACCGCACACCACAACCGCAGTGTGCGGTAAAGCCAAAAGCCCTGCGTGAAGCAGTAATCTCGGAAAGCACGACATGTCACGAAATGCAATGCCAGCTGAAGTATACCAACATACTCACAAAACCACAACGATCCGCCACCCCGCTGTGGTGGACTTCCCCACCCCTGTCCAACAGCTCGCTGTGGGAACACATCGCGCATGGTGCAATATCATGGTAGGCGCCGCCGAGCAAGCACTTGCAGGCAAATGGGCTAAAGTCTGAAGATATACCAGCCGCGAGCAGACTTGCATCCCAGCCTCGCCGTGTTGCCTCAGGCATTGCCAGCCCCTTCCCTCCCTCCCGCCCAGCTTTCAACCTCCCCACTTCCCCCTTTTTACTCATGCAAGGTTAGAGCAACGCAGCAGCGCATTTCGCCATCTCGCCTGACGGCAAAGCGCGCCTCTTGTGTGAGGGGTCCTCCCTAGAAAATTAAAGTTTACGTGCAGACCGCACGTGTTTCCATCTTGAGCAGATACGTAGGTGTGCAGCACAGCGGGTGGGTTTTCCACACCGACGTATTTCAACTGACGTGGCTCGTGATGAACAATCATCAGGGGGTCGGGGAAGAGCAGGGAGAGGAGAGAAACTGGAAATGGGTTCCATGCTTTAAAGTTTGAGGGCCCAGGGGGACACTCCCGACCGACCGACCGGGTCAACAGAACTAACCCAAGGCGCAATCATCGGCCCGCATGAACGCGAGATGTATGTACCCATCTCCCCGGCGATATGCGCCAAAATAAGCGGTCTCAAAGCATTAATAAGCCAAACATCGAAAAACGCAGCAGCCACGTTGGGAATCATTTACGAGTATGTAAAAAGGGGGGAAAAGGGGGCAATCAGGGCGTCCGTACAGAGTCGTCGTCAGCAGCGGAGTCAGCAGCGCGGCCAACCCAATCTATCAGCCCCCAAACAGTTGTGAACGGGTAACAATTCATAAACGCGCTAAGATACGCACGAGGACGACCCCCCCCCATGCACCCCAGCTCACCCCAACACCGTGCAGGTGAAAAAGCATATAGCCAGCAAGCCAGCACCACAACCCAGCAATAATAATACCCACCCACAAATGAAAACGACAGGAAGCGTGTGAGGCTATCGGCGTCATTCCGCTCAGACAGAACGCCCCTCACTTCCAAACTCATTGACCACCACACACAGATTCGAACTCCCCCACTGTCCAGCCCGACAAAGCGGTCGCGTTGCGAGGTGCCTTGCCGCCTGCGCAGACGCCCACACACAAGCCTGCATTGAACCGAGTATGACGCGAGCCCAGAGACCTTCCGCGACCTACCAACACCAGGAGGACGACGACGATACTTTTCGCAGAATCACCACCCACGCCTCAGACACCCGGGTGCTTCTCAGCACGCGGCAAGGCGCCCTCTTCGCCGCGGTGCTCCAGTGCGCCATCACTGCCTGCCGTCATGCAAAAGAGGAAAATCGGCAGCCGGCTGCCGCCCCAGCACAGTAACTCTCCTTTCCCCACCCCACACCCAGCAGAGCCGCTCGCCAAAGTGTACCGCCTGCCGCTCCCCCCACGATGACCCCACCTCCGCCGGACCTGCCCTTCACAAACCGGGCGGCGCGGTAGGCCTCTGCGGGCCGGCCCAGCCACGCCACACGCTGCACACGCACCTGCTGCACTACCCAGGAAGTCTTCAGAACGCCGTGGAGCTGCAAACGGTGCAAACAAAGCCCGCGGCAACAAGCTAAACAGGACTGACAGTGGCCCCCATCACTACTACCTACGTGCACACGTGCCCCTCCTCTCGCACATCATCGCGAAGAGAGGTCCTGGGGAGCCCCTGGACTCCCCTTCGGTCTCGCCCTCACCTCCTCACCTCCGGGGACTGAAAGGAACAGCGCACAGACAAACTCTGAGGCCCGCGCGATGCGGCAACTCCTGGACATCAAAATAGAGTCGCCCAAGAGCTTCGACGACCCACATCATAACGTGGCCTCAAGCCTACCTCGGCCTTCCAGCCACCACCATCCGCGACTCGCACAGTTCTACCACCACCAGTCGTAGCCGGGGCTTTCCTCGGACGTTTTCCCCCACACCTCCCAACATCTCGCCAGCCGTTCATCAAATCGGACACGTGCAAACCGACGGCTCCAAACCTGCGCTCTGTAGCACCGGAACACGTGTCGTTCTTCACTCAACGTACCGGGGCAGATAATCCTTGGGGAGCTGCGTCGCCTGATTGCTCAATCGCCCATTCATCCACTCACCCACTCACCCTTCATCTACCCGTCCGCCCGCCCACCGACATGTCAACACGAGGGACCTCGCCCAGCGCATTGCCCTAGGAGCGCTCTAGGCCCCATAGAGCGGAGCCACTAACAAGGCAAGGAGATGCCGGTATTAACGCACAAAGGAAGAGAACAGGACGTACAGTTGGGCAGCAGGTGCGTCTGCTTCCCCCCCGCGCCGCGTGAATCCAGTTCCCCCAGACGCCAATCTCGACCCACCGCCACTTCCACCCCTGACATGAAAGCACCTAAATGGGAGGCTAGGGTAGGGGCGCCAGACGCCGATTCAAGACGCCGCAATCCCCAGACTTACACCCACCGTCAGCCTACCAAACTCTACAAGAGAAGATCACAAAGTCTCAAAAGAGTGTCACATGACCCTGCCCCAGTAGGGCCACATGGTACGTTTGAGCCGTCATCATCAGGACGCCCTGCTTCAGGCCTCCGCCACCTGCGGCGCCGGCTGGATAAGGCCCGGGAGCCCGCTGTCGCCCTCGTTGCGCGAGTGCTGGGGCACCGCGGTTCCGCGACCAACACCTCCGGCAACACGGAATCCGCCACTCGCCTTCGCCGCCTCTTTGGGCGCCGGTGCCATGGGGGCCTGCGGCGCCATGTCGATCCCGGCGAGCACGGACACGGCCGTCGCCTCCGCCGGCTCCAGAAGCTTCAGCTGATCTCCCGCCCGAGGCGGATGGGGTCGCGCTTTGGTGCGCTGTTCGCTGCTATCGCCGCCCAGGACCGGTGAGCCCGAGCGCTGCACCTCCGTTGGGACGCCGCCGCTGCCCGAGGCCGCGCGCGTGGGCCCTCCAGCCTTGCTAGGACTGCTCTCCGGACGTACGGGCGTGGGCATCGGCGTGGGCTGCTCTTCTTGCTTTATGGCCACAGCGATATGCTGCGGCTGCTGCGCTAGCATCTCCTGCTGTTGCTGTTGGTGTTGTCCGCGCTGGGGCCGTTGCTGCCTTTGCTGCTGTTGTTGCTGTTGTTGCTGATGCTGCAACGGTGGTAACTGCGGCGCGCGGCGCTCAGGCGCCGGTGGCGGCGGCGTCTCCACGCGCTGTTGCTGCTGCTGCAGGTGCTGTTGCTGGGTTAGGAGCTGCAGGTGCGCTTGCAGCAGCAGCACTCGCTCCACCAGCTCCTCGTGCGCCAGGCGCACAAGGGCCTCACGCGGCACAGGCTCCAAGCCGAGCGCCGGAGGCACCTGCATGTCCTCCAAGGGCACAAGCGCCAGGGCCGCAGCAGTCCGCTCCCCGTCCCCCTCGCGCCCTTCATCCCCCTCCCCCACCCGCGCACCACCGCCAGCAGGCTCTGGAGAAACGGAGCCCGCCCGCACCGGCTGGCGCCTGCTCGTGCTGTGTTTTACCGCCGCCGCCGGCAACCCGTTCAGCGTCGCGACGCCGCCCCGTGCCCCCCGCCGCTGCCGACTTGCCAACTGAGCTGCACCGACCCGGCGAGCGCCAACAGCCCTCCCCGGGGCCCCTGCCCTATCCTCCGTATCCGTGCCGTCCTCCCCCTCACCCTCCGCATCGCGACCACCCATAACGCCCTCAATATCGTAATCCTGTCGCCGACCGAGCAACCCCGGGCCGCGCTTGCGCTTGCCCCGACCCAGGTTCGCGGCCTGCTGCGCCACCAGCTCCATGAAGTCCACGGTTCCATGCTCCTCCTCCTCCTCGTCCTGCTCCCCCTCCTCGTCCTCCTCCTCCTCGCCACGGCCGTCCCGTCCTCCGCCCGTTGCACCGCCGTCCTCCTTCTCCACCCGGTACTGCTCGCCCTCGCGGTACGCAGCCTCCTCCATGGCATGCCGCTCGTCCAGGCCCCTGCCGGACATGTACGCGCTGTGCGGCTGGACGAGTGCCGCGGCGTGGTGCGGGAAACCCGGGATACCAGGGATTCCCGCCGCGGCGCGGGATAGGGCAAGGTTCTGCGCAATGGCTGCGAGCGCTAGCTGCTGCTGCGCGTGCTGGTGGTGCTGTTGCTGCAGCGCTGCTTGCTGGAGCTGTTGCAGGGTGAGGCTGCGAAGTAGTTCCGAGTGTTGGCGGCCGGCATCCAGGACAGCGGCCGGCTGGGCGGCAGCGGCGGACGACCAAAGTGCCGAGCCCAGCGCGGCGGCGGAAGACCCCATGAACGACTGCAGGGAAGGTACGCCCGAGTGGAGCAGCTCCAAGGGCAGGCCGGCGGCGGCAGCCGCAGCCGCCGCAGCGACTGAGTTGGCCCCGCTGGCGCCGCGCAGGGAGGCAAACTGCGCCAGGCCGGCGGCAGCCGCCGCCGCAGCACCCGTGGGGTCCCTGGACAGATATCCCTCGACATCGAGGCCCAAACCCATGGGGTAGACGCCGCCAGGGTCGGCGTCCATGGGCTCGTGGTGATTTGGTTGGTCGGGGTCGTGGGCAGCACTCGTGTCCTCGTCCTCCTCCTCCCCCTCGTCCACGTCGTCGCCGTCCTCGCCGTCCTCCCTGTAGCCAAATCCCTCGCCAGGAATGTAGGTGGAGTTCTGCGGCATGAGGCATTTACGGTATCGGGATGGGGGGGTTGAGCTCCGTGGTCCGAGGGCTCCATGGTTTCAAAGCGATGGTAAGCGAAGGTAAAGAAGGGGGGAAAGGGGAGAGCCCTCCGGACACTGCGTCCAAACCCACCAGCGGAAGTCTGCGGTCCGTGAGACTCCTCCGACGTTGCCGATTTGCCGCCAACCGCTCGCCAATAGAGCGCTTCTTCGCGCGGTAGCTGCAAGATATTGCGGGGCGCGGGAGTTAGCTTGTGCAAGCTGGATGATGCTGCACGGACAAGGCAGCCGCCACGCACACAGGAAGGGTGAGGGTATATGTACACGTACTTTCGGAAGTAGTCCCGGACCAGGGGCAAGCTCCTGAGGCACTTTGCATGCACGCGCGTCTCCTGCAGTGACGGCGCGTCCTCCTTCCAGAGGTCGTACGCATGAACCTCATACCAGCCGTTGATTTCCTGGGCGTTTGGTCGCCTGCCCAAGCGATCGAGCTCACTTCGCCACCAGTCGTTGAAGGGCTGCCAGAACCTCAGAGGCCGGCGATCAGACCACTCTGGTCGAGACGGGGTAACACGGCCCTCCTTCAACTCCGCCAGCGCCTCGGCACCAAGCTGTTGCTTGGACCGTCTGCGTGCGCTTCCCTTTGTCATTTCCTTTCGTAGGTTATGCGCCGGCTACTGCTACAGGTGCCGAAAGCAGCAGCAGGGAGATAGGTGGCACCTCACCTAGCCATCCCTTGCAGGGAAGAAATGTAGCAACTGCAAGTCACAAAACATGCAAAGGTTTACACGGGTCAGCCATGAGGGCGGAGTTTATAGGAGAAAGAGCTACGAGGCCGCTTCATTTGCGGGGGCCGCAGTAGCCACCGGCGCAGCTTGCGCAATATGTAGCGGCCTCAACCATGTGACCAAGATACAGATAGTAACGACATGTTGAAACGCGCGTACCGGGGTATCCTTGAGAGAACTGGCCCCTAACCTGCGCAAAATTGGCAGGCTGCCCCGGGAAGGCTGCTGGCAGGTAGCCGCCCTCTCCAGGGAGTCACCCACAAAGCGTTTTCTATCAAGAAGAATACAACCACTGCAGGACTATCGGGTGGATGCTTATCGGGCTAAGAGGGTTGCACAGATGCTGCTGCCGCCTGTAAAAGCGAGGTGCAAGTGTATGCCACGCAAGATTATGGTTTTATTAATTAATAAGTAACAAACAGCGAAGCCATGGGTAGGCCAGTTTCCGTCCGTAATGTCGATAAGCACATCCCCGTTTCTGTATCGCACTGGCTTGGTTGCCGTGATGTGATATATGATGTTGTACGTAAACCTGCCATAAATACGCTGTTACAAATACAGATGCTTTGTAACAAGCTTCGATGCAAGGAGGTTCTTGCCCCGCGCTTCCGAGCTCTGCTCATTCCGCTACACGCAAATTATGCTGGGATAACACCTTGAACCTCACCCGAGGAGATACAACGCACACTGTCAGCTTAGCAGGAAAGCGTTGCACAACGGGCCGAACATGCTGCAATGTGGTTTACGTATGCAGGCTCGCCAAGGCGCTCGATTCCAGCCTTGGCTTTTCATTACATGACGAGGACGCAATCCTCAATGCGTCTTGCGCGCAATCAGCCCAACTGCCAAGAAACCTCGAGGCGCCAGTTGCTGTCCTGCTTGCGGGCAGGCTTCCGCGCATAAACATGCGCCTAGACCCCTGCAAAAAGCCTGCCGTCGGCCCAGCTTACAAACGAGCACGTTTCCCGCACTACGTGCTGCTGTCCAACCAGACTTCTGAGACAGCCATAGACCCTAAAACCAATCCAAACCCCCGGTGCGACCATGGCGCACAGACAGCTGTCCAGAGGCCCTAAGTGCCACTAAATAGAGGACCTGGGGGTCCTAAGGGCCCGCCCTCCATCACCACAGCCACCCCGGCTCCGGACATGGTCGCCCCTAGCCCCTCCTCCCCCCCTGCACCCCCATGTCGTCCCCTGCTTTCCCCCTCCCCGGCGCCTATACATCGACCCCTGTCCGGGTTGCCTGCCTCCAAGACCACCCGCGATCGGGGCGCCCCGGCGCTGCACTCCGCGACAACGCATTCGCGCGGCGCCTCCCAGCTCCCGCTCGGTCTCGTGCCCACATCTCTCAAGCCACCATCCACTAACAAATTTCCGCCCTGGCCCTGGTCCTCCTCCTCCTCGAACCGCCGCGAACCGCCTTCCGCGGGGGAACCACACACAGCGCCACTCCCACAATTCACACCCTCGTCGTCTTCGCAACATCCCCCAGCACTGTCCGGCCGATCCCCCCGCTGCTGCCAGTCGCCGGGCTCCAGCAGTGGCATGGGCAGCGACGGCGACCGCCCGTATGAACCGTCCGTGTCGTAAAAACCCACCTCCCCTACCTCCGCCCCCTGCGTGAAGCTCCCCGCCCCCTCCCCCTGCCCCCGCGGCCTCTCCCTCTCCGCCAGCAGCAGCCCCACCAGCTCCTCCAACTGATCCACCTGTTGCCGCAGAGCTGCGTTGTCGGCCGCCAACGAGGCCTTTTCACGACCAAGCGCCTGTACCTGTGCGCGTGCATCCCAACATACCGGGTGGGGGAAGAGTAAGGAGACGTGGACGCATATTACCTAACGTTGTTGCTTTTCCGTCTTCGTGTATGTTTGCGTAATTTTATGCATGTTAAGACGTCCGTTTCTCAACTCTGAAAGGAAAGCCCCAAGGGGGTTGCGGCGGGGGATTACATTTGTACTTTCGCTCGCGGGATGTAGCCGTCGCTGCCGCATCAGCCCAGCTTCATGTGCTAAGAGAGACGGCCATGTCGTGGAGAAACAAGCTAGCTGGCATTGTTGTATGACATCAATCATAGCCATCGGCGCTTCATCGCTTCATTCCCTCATTCCCTCCAGTCAAAGTGATGAAACCCAATCGCCCTGAGCTACACTGGACGCGCATGGCAGCTTCCGGAATAGCAGGGGGATGTGCGTGCGTAAGACCGCTGCTGGGGTCACCTCCGCAGCTGAGGGCTCCCTCCCCAATCGCGAGCTGCTAGCCCCCGTGTAAAACCCCTTCCTCTTACCCCAGCCGCACCACCACCGCTACTGCCCGGGGGGCCCATAAAGAGGAATCCACAGCCCCTGGGAATTCAGGGGACGGTACCTGCTGCCGTTGCTGCTGCTGATGATGATGTTAATGTCCAGTGACCAAGCCAGCCGCATCCCACCACCCGCCCAGGACCCTGTCAAAGTACAACGTACCGAGCTACATGCGCAGCATTGCGCCATCTGCCCACCCTCCCACCGATACTTACGTGCCATCCATTACAATACCTGTACCTGCCCGGCACCCGGCTACCCATGTCCTGCGCTTCCATACCTGCAACAACAGCATGTCGATGAACGGGTCCGGAGCACCCCCATTCGTACGGCTGCTGTTGCCGCCGCCTCCACCTCCGCCATCGCCTCCATCAGAAGACGCCACATCCAACCCCGGCGGCAGCCGTGCATTCTCCCCCTCCTCCTCTTCCACGGCTCCCGTTAGCCGACCTGGCAGCTGACCCAAACCCAATGCCGGGCCAGTGCGAGCGCCAGTGCCTGGGCCCAGGCCCCGCCCCGGGTATCCTGGACCGGGGCTGGGCCCAGGGCTCCCATAGGCGCTGTCGCAGGGGGCCGTGCTGGGTGCGGAGGCGGCCACACCCCAAGTGGAGGCCAGGCTGCTGATGCTGGGGGCGCCGCAGGTGACGGAGGTGACGGAGCAGGGCGAGGAGGGCAGGGGGCAGGGGCCCGGAGGCAGGCAGGAGCTGCCCGGTGCTAGGACAGGCAGGGTGGTGCTGGCCATGGCCACCGCGGGGGTCATCAGACGCATCTGGGACCAGCGGACAGGCCGGGAGTGGCGGGGCGTGTGTGTGAGGACTTTGGGGTGGGGCGTGTGTGAGGAAAAGGCAGCAGTTGTCACCGCAAAGGGGCTTGTGGCAGCTGCGCGACCAAGTGCTGTATTCGATTTGGGTGAGGCAAGGCCTAAGTGCTGTAGAAGTTCATGGGCCGTAGGTCCTCGGGGAGTACGGCACAAAGTGCAAGATGAGACGAAACGACACGGGGCTTCCGTTGAATCAATGGATGGACCGAATCCAGTAGGGCACCAGTAGGAACTTCTGGTGTTGCCTCGGGAAATGTGCAAGCCTTAGATTGCAATTCTCCGCAACGAACTGCAGCTTTGAAGGCAATAGGAGCTGCGGGCCTCAAAGTGCGCCTCTCACCACATGGCCTCCTGCTGGTCTGCCAGCCCCTGCTGGCTGCTTGGCTGCTCCCTTTCCCCCTCCCCCATATCATCCCCTCACACCTCGGCGGGCTCATGTTGGAGGGCTGGTCCCACCGTGGCGGCTGCTGGCTGGGTCAATACACGAAATGTCGAGAGCTCAACTGTCGGGGACCCTTGCAGAGCCCCCGACCCCGGTCCAGGACTCGGCACCAATCCTTTGCTCCTAGCTGCTGCCGCGCCTTTTTGGCGGCGGAACTCTTCCAAAGCTCGCCGCCCCGCAGCACGCATCCTCTCCTTGTACTCCTCCACTTCAGACGCCTGCTGCAAAGCGGTTGACGACCGATTAAGAGGAGCCACATATATTTGAATTGGACAATTGGACAATTTGCCTACAGTTTGCATGTGATTGCCATCAGAGGCACCACTTGCGGGCCGGCGCATCGGACGTGACGCAAAGAACTTGTTTGACGTTTGGATGCCTTTTAATGGAGCCCCAGCGTGACAACGTTAAAGAGCAATATTGAAGGCATACCACCGCTCCCAACCCATATCACGGAAGTCGAAACTAGGTAGGTTGAGCTGGCAAAATTCAGGTGGCCATTGAGACTTTTGATTAAAAGCATAGGTCTACGGGCCTTATAAGTATCCTCACCTCTGCCATGGCAACGCCCTCGGCCCTAACGCCAGCGCCTCGGCCCTCGCCGGGCACCCAAGATGTGCTGTTTCCCAGTTCTTCGGCAAAGCCTAAAAAGAACCGGGAGCTTGGCTAAGGCCTAACGTAAAATACCCCGCTTAACGACACCAGCAACGGAGGCCGACGCGTTAACGACCTCGACGCTCCATAACCCAGTCGGTTGGCAAGATGAAAATGGTCCCATGCATTAGATAGGTGCATCCACGCACTTTAAAATTTGTGGATTCATAGTTTCCAAATTTGCACGTCTTTCCCTTGTAAGACGGTTATGCGTACAGAAACGGATTTGACCCAAGGACCACAACGCGCCGAGGACTGTTAATAGTGATTACTGCAAAACGACACATATAAACAAATTGCTTACTTAGTGGCCAACAAGTCGTGTCTGACTTCGTTTTCCTCGAGATATTTAGTTCCACAGCACGTACAAATAAAGCTGTGGAGGCCCCAAGGCAAAGTGCAGCATCCCTGTATTGACATTTAAACCAATTAGGGATGTCTTTGCGGCGAAAGCTCAAGGGGAAGAAGCCGCCAGAGGGCTGGGAGCTCATCGAGGAGGTCATAGAGGACTTTGAGCAGCAGCTCAAGGAAGCTGTCAATGAGGAGCACGAGGGCAAACGGAAGACAGAGTTAACCTGGAAGATTCATCGGTTACATTGGGAAAAGAACCGATTTATATATGACCTGATGTATCAGCGCAAAGTGATGTCAAGGGAGTTGGTAAGTATACCTGTAGTACCTGTATGATCCAATATGTACCTTTGTTAGAAAGCTGTCAGCACACTGAAGATCTGGCATGATTACCAGCTCTGCGTGTGGGCATTTCATTTGACCGTGTGTTATACATCGCGCTAGTGTGGAATTGTGTAGATGCCGGCACGCGTCGCCGTTGAACGTTGAACCAGCGTTCGCCCGAGTTTGCGTCCCAGGGGACGGTGCGGCAGGTTATATGCGCTAATGCGCTTTGCGTAGTTTGCATCGTAGGGTTGCTCCAGACGCTCTGGCATGCACGAGGGTGTCTTGCATAGCCCTGCCGTGTACACGAAGGCGCCCGCGTGGCAGCCAGCGAGGGCCGAACCAACGAAGAAAATGACCGGTGCTTTGACACCGGGGGCAGCACTCGTGGGGTTGTGTGATGCGCCTGGAAGCGGAGGGAACCTACACATATCTGTCACGCGCACAATTAAGGGTCCCCACCCGCTGTGGCCGCAGTTCGAGTGGCTGGTTCGCGAAAAGGTGGCGGACGGTTCCTTAATCGCAAAATGGCGCAAACCTGGTTATGAGATCCTGTGCTCCATGCTGGCGATCCAGAAGGGCAACCACAACTTTGGGACGACGAGCCACTGTCGTGTGCCGCTGCGGGCGCGCGCCAAGCAGCAGCGGATTACGCCGGACGTTCAGACGGGTTGCATCTCATGTGCTTCGGGCGACGGCAAGTGAGTGCAAAGTGCAAACCAGGAAGGATTTGAAGTGAGGGCTGCACAGCGGCAACGCTGGAGACATACATAACACATACATAAGACTTGACATATCGCTTGGGATGGCTCTCCCATTCCACCACGCGAGGTCCGCGATGTGGGTTCCTCGCGTTTTTGGAGGTTGGGCCAGGCGGCAGGTTCACGTGCCGACTTTGGAATAGTTATCGGTTCGGGTGCTCCGAGCCGTGCAGGCCGTGGGCTCCGCCTGTTTGCGGGCCTTGAACTTTGAAGCTCATGGCTTTGCAGGAGGGGTCCTCCTGCCTCGCATGGGGCCTTGTTGGGCGCTCAGCTGGCGATTATCCGATGAATGTACTGTATGTGGCTAGATGAAGAACGGGTGGATGAGTTACAGGCACTCACATGCGTGTTCATTCACACACGAATAAGTTCAAAACTGTATTATACAGCGCGGAAATCCGCTGCTGGCAGCTGCTCTCCCTCCAACCTGCTACACTTGGGGGTCTCCTGGAGCCACCCTGACACCCATGCCCACCAAGCTCTTCAGTGGCCTTCTCCCCCGTGCAATTGAGTTGCTGCTACACGACATCTATCTGACTCCGGTGTTTTGTTCTTGCAGGTTTGGTGGCCCCGTATGGTGGAATACGCCGCTGGACGAGGAGGACGGTGCCAAGCTGGCGGAGAACCGGACGACATGGGGGCAAGGGGGTCCGGGCGAGCAGGCGGAAGGCTTTGGGGGTGATCCAGATGGGGAACCGGGGCCAGGGCCCAGCGGCGGCAGTCGCAAGCGGCCTGCGTCGGACTTTGACGGGGATGACGACGACGAGATGCCCGCGGAAGTGCGCGCGCGTCTAGAGGCGCTTAAGAAGGGCAATAAGGTGTTGGATTAGTCGCTGGACGGAGGGTCTTACGGGGAGTTACGGGGAACACGGCGGTGCAAGGGGAGGCACCATTGTTGATCGAAAGGAGTAGGGGGGAGTAGGGACTGGCGACAGTATTCATTGACGCAACATCTGGAATTGCAGGTGTTGCTAGACATCACAGGTTTAGGCGCAGCGCCGCGTGCTCAAGACGATGTACAATGATAGCACATAAGTTCGCAAGGGGGGTTCGCGGAGGAGACGAGATCTGTAAGAAGTGGCCTGAGATTGAGCTTGATGTCGTGGGCTGAGGATTTAGTGGCTGAGTTGACCATCAGCCGCGGTTTTGATGGTTGTTGCTGTCTGGTATACCGTGGTGTACGTACGAATCGACACCGCGGACACCGCGGAAAGTGCCTGCACCTTGGGCCCAGGAGGCGTTCAGGGCGTCCTTGGGATTGAAACGTTTTGTCGGAGGGCTTGGGATGCGTCGCTGATCCACGGGGCCGTAACCTTAGGCCGGAGGACCAACTGATTTCTAGGTTCTACGGGAGGGTTCTATTATATGTCGGGCTGTGTTCCTCGGACTTCTTGTGACATCCATACTGCACCGCAGCTCGATGATGAAAAATGATAAGATTGCCTCCGCCGAAACAGATGGATTACGTGGACACGAAAAAATGCCGTACAGCGTGCGGAGCTTCCAGTTACTTTAGTTGCGGGCAGCGAAGAATTTTTTTCACTTGTCCAAAAGAGTACTTGCTTAAGTTAAGCAAGTACCGGGAAGTCAACAAAGCCATGAACTTAAGTTCGATTAAAGCTCCGTTGTAAACTTCAGATATAGTGACAATGATTTTCTTCTTTTATTGTTCGGGTCAAAGCGGTTCATGGTCAGTGGGCCCTCTCATAGCATTAGTACCTCTGCTCCTCCAGCTTGCACCATACCTTCTGCAAGAGGCGTCATCAACAGTAAGTGGCGAGCGTGTATGGTCCAATTGTTACAAGGTGAAAATGATGTCTTTTACGCGGCCAGGGCTTCTGGAGGCAGCTGGCGTTCAGCGATGATGCTCTTTGGCTGGTGGCTGGCTTAGTTTTATTCAGCTTGGCTGCCTCATTTTTTGCACGCTGGGTAAGTGCTAGCAGCTATCCGCGTAGACTGCGCTGCTTCACTGCTAAAGAGGTCCAGAAGCAGGAGCACTACGGAACATGGTGTCTTTTTAAGCACTAGACAAAGTGCTTAATACTTCATAGTGCGAATCCAAACTGTTGTTTCTTTGGAGCTACAGACTTGCGTCGATGTGTGTGAGCTTGACACCACCCAACGTATGCCTGTCGTACAGATTCATCGAAACGGTGGGTGGCGCTTCCTGTTACAGCTTCTGCTACAGGGCTACCAAGGTGGCCGTGCTGCAAGGCCCGGCGGTGGTGTGCATGGACATGGCGGCCCAGGCAGGGCACAGCGGAATGGCCGGCCTCCGGCGCGTGCCAGTGCCACAGTTGAACAAATCACTGAGGCGCTCATGAAATTGCCAACAGAGCCCTATATGGCACCGGAGCAGCTGGCTGCATTGCCTGTGCATGACCTTAAGGTGGGTGCATTTCTTCCCTTAGTGGTCTTGGGCTCTTAGGTGGAGCTACCACCACCCATATGTGCCTCGCCTGACCCAGCAAGAGGTGCTGAATCCTGACAAATCGCTACACTCTCCGTCCAGTCCTACCGTGTGGATGTTGACCATCTGCGTAATGTGCTGTAGGAACTCATTCGGGGCCGCGGCCTGGAGCCTGTTAAGTGCTTGGAGAAGGCTGAGCTGGTAAAGCAGCTGATGGAGCACGGCGGCTCCAGTGCCCACTCCTGCAGCATATGCTGCGAGGACTACGCCTGCACGGGGTCCGGCAGCTGCGCAGACGGGGACACGGACGAGCCACCGCTCGTGCTGCGCGTGCTTCGCTGCGGCCATCGCTTCCATGTGGAGTGCGTGGACCGGTGGTTCTTGTCTGCAACGGATTACACCAGGGCGCCGGCGTGTCCTCTGTGCAATGCGCCGCTGTTATCGGAGCCAAAGCAGTAGCACATCAATCTGGCTAGGGAAGTATCTTATGGAATGCGCGCACTAGGCCAGGAGCCACGGGTGTAGATCCCATATGGCTTGTGTCCCCGGGGACATGTTTGTGATATTGTGGGTAGGGTAGCCGTACACGCTATCATCCCCATGTCGTCCGCTCACACAGTAAGCCGGCCACGACGATCAAGCTGGCCTAACGCAACGAATGAAATCTTTTTGAAAGAATGCAGTCGGGACTTTCATTGCACTAATGCTTGCGGCAATCAAGTCGAGTTGGTGACCGTTATAGACTTCATACGACGTTGAACGTGTATTTGTTGAGCTATTCATGCTGGTGGTTGTGGGTCGGCAAACGATTGCTTACATTGTGCTGCGATAAGGAGGGATGAGGCAACCTTGCTGTTCTTTTTAAGGGTCAGTCGCCCATGGACTTATGCTTCCTTCTATCTGGAGCCGTCCGAAGAATTACTCAGTAAAATTTAGCATTTACAGCGCAGCTGTCAAGGTGCAGCACAGGCTTGGGAGCACGTTCGGGTTGGCAAGTGCGCACCTTTGGGCCTGACTTAGTGCATAATACCTTGTAAATGCTTTTATGCATCAATGCGTCTTGCAGCTTTACATCAGGACCTGAAGTTGATCTTTGCTGGCAACGTTGCATGTCGCCGCTTGATTCCCTATTTGTTCGGCCGGAGCTGTCGTCTGCACGACAGCTGCTGTACTGCGTACAGCCATGTCACCCCCGGCATGAAACTCTGATTATAATACAGTTTTCATCAGTGGGCTCCCTGTGCCCAAACGCGGGGATCATCCCCTATCCTAAAAATAAAACACACACACACACAGACATCACTCTCAGATCCATAGAGACCATAAATGGGACCCGAAACCTTTACGAACCCACCCAGACAGTGCGAGAAACACCCGTAGACGTTTTGTGCGAGCACCTCGTGCATTGTATGTTCCCACTCCTTAGCGGAAGTGTTCCGTCAGGCGACCACGCAAGCCGGCCGCGCACCCCTGCAGTCAGTCAGTACATCGCGCTGCCAGGCCACCGTGGTAGCGCTCGTTGCCCTGCCGTGACTGCTAGACGGCCTCCACCTCCTTTCCGCAGATGGGGCATGCCTGGCGTTGCAACCAGCGGAGTGGGGACCCGAAGAATGCGGGTTACGAACAACTCGCGCATGTGCAAAGCGTGCATTGGAGTCTCGCGTGGCGATGAACCTCAAGAGACGGCTGTCTGCACGTGTAAGACGGTTGGGATGTGTTGCAACTCAAGCCCGAAATATGCCACATCGAATGGAACTGCTTCCGTCAGGTCTTTGTGTACACGCATTCGAAGGAAGGATACCGTACCCTGCCCGATAGCGTGGCAGCGCGGACACGTCACCAACCTTGCTCTGTTGTAACCATTGCCGTACGCAGTCGCTGTGATAGCAGTGCCGGCAGGACAACGGCGTGGCGTCCTCCGCCTCCTCGAACTCCAGCTGGCAGATGCAACAACTGTCATGCAGGGCAAGGGCCGCATACAGGGCGAAAAGTTACAAAGGATGTAATGTGCCAGATTGCTTTGCTTCTGGGATCTGCGTGCGTCGGTAGGCAGACGGCCATTTCAAGCCATTATGGTCCCGATTGCAACCCGCGCACCGTGTCCCGCTTGATGCCTAGGCTGCCATCCCGACCCTACAAGGACATATGCCCCCGCGCGCCTAGGAGCTCCCAGCGCATGTCGTCACGTGCAAAATTCTGGGGCTACTCTGTCCAACGACCAATGCCAGCACAGACGGGACACAGGAGCTATCTGGCGCACTACCGAGGTTAAGGGAAAGCAATGTCTGCCATCCTCCAGGGTCTCGTCTTCCAGGCATAATTTTGTACATACCGGTTCAAGGAGACAACTCCTGAATCCCCTCGAAGAGCGCACACTCGCACCACCGGCAGCCGGCTCAGGGCCTCCGCACTGAGGCCCTTATCGACCTTGCCGGCTAGCTCGCCCAGTGCCAGCATGTCCTCATAGCTAAGCTGCATGGCGCTCCGCTCCGCTTCTTCCTCCTCCTGCTCCTCGTCTTCCAAGCTCGGTCCCCTCTCTGCGCCATCCACAGCCTCAACTATCGCTTCCTGGCCCGCATTTGCCGGCCTGGCTGCATGACCGAGATACACAGGAAGGAGGCCTTGACATTCTTAGCTGGGGACCCACCCGTTCTGTTTCCTGACCTTCATCAAAGCCAGGGCAAGAGGCGAAGAAGTCACTTGTCTTTAGATGGCACACCTGATTCTGCGTAAGCCAGTTCGTATGCTGCCTGGTCCTCTTCCTCCTGCAAGCGCCTGGCTAGTTCTTCGTCTGTCAAGTCTTCATCAACAGCCTGGTGATCACTGCGTCACAACCACATGGGCAAATCCAGCTCTAGCCATTCGCTGTGTGTTGTGGCTCGACGTGTTGGCGGCTCGACTTAGCTAACCTATTGGCACGGCTAAGGAGGTAGAGAGCACGTTCCTGCTCCTGGAGTAATTTCGCCAAGGCGACGTCGTCATCCTGAGCAAATTTACGAAAAGAAGGTGAATACGCTTGTAAACGCTCGTAAGAGGATAGCCACTGACATGGCGAGTAGAGTAAATTGCGCTGGAAAATATTGCTGTCAGCATTTGTTACTGTCCGTTAAGATCCGCGAACCAAAATATGAGCAGCCTTGCCTGAATGCTTCTAGAGCCGGTAACACAATCCATGATGTTAAAGGTTTGCAGCGTGGAAAGGTTATCAGAGCGGCTGTCGATGAAGGCACGAGGGATGTGAGGAGAAAATGCAGCGGACGGTGCAAAATGGAAGATACGAGAGTAACATAACGCACACAAATTTTATATTCTTCATTGGATTGCGGTTGAAGTTAAAAGTTCCGTACAATTTGCTGGCTTTCAAATTTTACCAAATGGCCACAGCCGCCTTTAACCTTTTTACAATCACCATCAGTAAAAGAGAGACCTACATCAAGGTCTCGCGTCATGGACGAAGCTGCATGGCTTGGCAGCGCTCCTGTCCTCTGCGCTCATCCATGCAGAAACATCCCTGCTTGGCCCCCTACTCCCCTTCCCCCGCCCGCCTGTGCAACGTCCCCCTCGTCATAGAGAAGTCTCCATCTCCTCGCCATCGCCGACGGGCACCTCGTTAAACATGTATTGCTCCTGGTACTCGATCAGGAACTGCGTGCTGCGCTTTACATCCACAAACATGCTGTACACCTTGCTGATATCCTCGATGTCCACCTCCGTGCCCTTGCGCCGTTGGCACACAATGGCCGCCGCCGTGATGAGCTGAATCGCATATCGCAAACTGGTTTCGAAGCCAATCTTGGTCAGCAGCTCCTTAGCGTCCTCCGACATCTCCACGTCCTCCTCCTCACACCTACGCACAGTATACACACGCGATGCAGGAGCACGTCAAAACATATCGCTTCAATCCAGCGTCGTCTCAAGTTCCCAACCCATCAATCTCACCGGTCCACTCTGTACAGCATTAAGTACGACATGCAGAGCTCCCGACCGCGTTCTATCCTGCCCCAACTTCGGAACTACCTTGTGGGAACATTACGTGGACACAATCAAGCATCACAAAGCTCAACCATCGGTCGCGTTACCGGCCTTGTATTCGCGATGAGCTGGTGAGCACCCATGCCTTGGTCAGCTCATGCAGTATGGCTCTAGCCCTTCCTTCCATCCTCTCGCATCCTGCCTTCCTCCTTTGCCCCTGGGTTGGAAAGCCCCTCCTATCCCGTCCCACGTCACGCCCCGCGGACCCCGACACACCACACGAACCTGATATCCAGGATGAGGCGGATCTCCTTCTCGGTGTACGGCTCCGTGGAAATGATGAGTAGGCGGTCCAGCAGGTCGATAGGGACACCGTGCGGGGAGCGGTACTGCGTGCCGCGGATCCGCGTGATGCCGCGGTTGGTGGCGGTCACCAGGATGGGCGCCATATCGTTCTCGAGTGCCCTGCACCGCCGCCACAATCGCCATCACCGTCACCATCACCACCACAAACACCACCACCACCACGGGCGCCATCAAAATGACCATTCCCACCGGCATGCCGCCGTAAGAGCAAAAACATGCGAATCAGATGCAGGCGCCAAGGACAGTCTACACTAGTTTAAACTGATTTTACTTTGTCTATTCGAGACACGCACACGCCCGCGGACGGCGCACCTGTTAAGGAATGAGAAGCACTCAATGTCCAGCATGTGTACTTCGTCAATGAACAGCACACCAGGCACGATCTCAGCCTTGCCCTCCTCCCGCCACTCCGCAACCTTGGCGTCGATCTGCTCGCGGACCTCGGACCGGATCTCACCCGTGTCCCCCGAGAACAGCGCCAGGAAGCCCTGAGGCACGGGACGCGGGACCGCAGCGTATCAGGGCGGGGCAGGACGCCAGGTGCGGGCAGTGCAGGTGGAATGGAGAGGGGGTGCAGGAGCGCAGGTGGGGGAGGGGGACGGGGGCAGCCGCGGAGTGAAAGTCATTCGTCCATCAGGGCCCAGAGTTTTAAGCTGAGCAGCGCGTAAGTTGAGGCCTACCACACTCATCACTGCATCCCCGGGGGACATGGAAGCCCCTCGGCAGCTGCGCCCATGTGTCGCGTCTACAGCATGCACGAGTCCACGCGGCGTGTGTTTCCACCCGCAATGATCCCGGAAGCTCTCTGGTTTATGCCCCGCCCCGCACGGAGGGACGGCTGGTGGCTGCTGGCGGCCTCATTACACCCCCGGGGGACCCGCGAATGAGTTTGAAAAACACTTGAAGACCACTTGAAAAGCTCTTGAGGACCACTTAACAATCGTCGTGGCAGCTCCCACTGTCCCGCAATTCTCTCCGTCACTGTTACACACCTGCGTACGGCTATTGATGACGTCAATCTCGTGCAACGTGACCACATGCACCACCTCCTTCCGCTTTTGGAGCTCTCCCTCGGGACACTGCACAAACTTGGTCGAGGGACCTGCGAGGTGGTGGGGGGGAGGGGGGGGTTATGGAGTGGCTGCGGCTGCAGGTGGGTGAGCGGGTGGGGTGCACCCCACGCGCCACTGGTGCACTGTCCTCCATAAAACCGGTTTACCCTCCTCTACCCATGCAACCCCGCGCACAGGCGGTTGAGGACAACATGTCTTTGCAGCGATGCTGGTGGCTGTGGTGCAGGTCCCTGCCGACCTGCAACATGCCAAGCCCCACACCCCAGCCGCCGCGGCACGAGTTTGACCTGCATTCGGCTGGACCTGCATTCGGCTCGGCCAGGAAACAACGAGGGCAAGCAAACAAGGACCCTCCGAGTGCTCTCCCTCCCCCCCCCCCGGTCAACTAGCCGTCAGCCTTCAACGTGCATTCGCGGTGGGTGTCCGGAAGACCGCGTGGACCCAGAGAGGCGTGAGGCAAAGCTGGCGGCCGCTGGCGGCTGGCACCTACCCATGGCGTCGTAGTCTCGTGACCTTGCGAACGAGCGACCCAGCCGTGTGATGCGGCCTGCAGGGGCAGGTGGAGTTACCCGGGGACAAGCAGGTAGGCAGGCACAGAGCCGGGTAAACATGAGCGGATAGCTGTAATCAAAAGGCGGAAACCACGCGGGATGAATGGAAGGAGATTAAAGAAACGCCGAATCCGTAAGCGGTGAGGTTAAAAATATGCATGGTCAGGGCGTTGAGCTCCCTCTGGGACTGCGAGCAACGGCTATCCAGGTCCGTGCCCTGCACACAACTCATACACATACACATACACACACCCATACCTGACGCCTTGTCAATTGTGATGACATCCCCCGCGGTGACCTTCTCCTTGGTCAGGGACTCGATCATCTTCTGCCCGAGGTCGTAGATGGTCTCCATCTCCGTGGTCTTGAGAGTCAAGCGGCCCTGCGGAACGTCACGGTGGGGGCCGGACCGGACCGGACAGGTAAGCTAACACACCTCAAAGACAGCAAAACACAATCCAACCGCGAACACCCGAGAGGTGCGCGGAGGCTACCACAATTAGAGCCTTGCGGAGGTCCATAAGCAAGGGATGCTCCACCCGCAGCGAATGGGGTGCTGCTCTAGCAGCGTCTTTTACCCGTTCAAACTCCACTGAGAGGGGCACCCGACCCGACCCCACTCTGTCTTTACCCTCTAATCCCCGACATCACCCCCCCTCCCGTTTCACATGGGACGTGGACTAGCTCACGAGGCTAGGCTGCTGACTGGGAAACGAGGCCATGGGTGAGTTTGATGCTTCTGTGCTCTAACAACCTCATTGCCTTGCTTAGGACGGAGAAGAGGGGCGCGAAAAAGGGAGTGGGGACCAAGCGAAATTTGCAAAACGCACCGTCTTTGCCGCGTTGCCGCCCTCGGGCCGGTCAATCTCGATCTCCACCACCTCACCCTCGATGATCTCCGTCTCCTCTTTGATCCGGACGCCGATAGCTTTACGGAAAGCCTGTAAAAAAAGCGCCGCCACCAATCCAAGTTACATCAGATGTTAGTGCACAGAGTGGCGCGCAATATTACACCTTAAGCACATATACACGTCAGCACTGAGGTTTCCCGGTGCGGCAGATCTGCGGGCGGATTGAACCGCCTGCAGGAATTCGACTATCACACGCCTCATTTACCGACGGGGCGTTTACCGGGGGTAGCGCTGCAGGAAGGCTTTACGCGGCGCAAGTTACAAGTGTACGGCCTGCCGAGCAAGACATAGACTTTGCCGGCGCCTTTATAAACCAGCACCGGGAAATCTTCCCCTTCCCCAACCAGCCTTGGATGCGAACAGCAGCGAGCCACCAAAACTGCCGACCTTACAGTCAAGGCTGCACGAAACCCCTAGAGTAGAGCCAGGGGAGCCATGCTGCGTGTCGCACCACCACCGGATGCACTGCGAAAAACAGCAGCTGAGAGTTGAGCACTGAGACCGAATAATTGTTGGCGCGCCGTGAAAAGTGCTTCAACCCTCCGGGCAGTCCTCCTATCCGCACTACTTCATCCACACGCACACACATGGCCCGCAGTACCCCGGCATGAGGGGAAAGGGCCTCTGCATGAGGGCCATGACGGAAAGGACATGAAAGGCGGTGCCGCACGGCTGCGTACCCATGCCTCTGTAGGTCACTACAACACCCTGGTCTGGCCTTCCTTGCCTCGCCATGTTCCCTTAGTTCACATGGCAGGGCAGGGCGGCAAGAGGTGCAGGGGGGCCTAAGGGGCCTAAGGGCCATCAGGCTGCCATCCTCACGCAGTCGCGCAACGTGCTCAGCCACCATATCACACAGCAGACGGCGACCAAGGTCGGGTCGGGGATACGGCGGTCAGGGGGGTCAACACAACCAGGACTCCGTACACGGCTGCAGTTGGCGGAATTGGTACCCGACGAAGGCGTCCACCCCTATCACCCCGTCCGTTGTATACCACAGTAGCGTGGCCATGCCCCAGCCCCGCAGCAATCCGAGCCGCATGCTGCTACCGCCGTCGTGAGAGCGATGAGAGCTCCGTATGCGCCATGCTGCTTCGGTCTCCTGCCTTCGGTCCTTTTACGGACTTAATGGTTACCATCGAACCGCCGCTTGGTGGGCCTTACTGGCAGCATGTATATGATCACTCTCATATAAGGCGCCAGCGCTTCCGCTACCCCAATTCGACCCTCCTGCGCAGCGCCTGTTACGGTTCACCCCAGCTGGACATCTGAAATGCACGTCTCCTTGGAGCCGGCTGGCTGATCTGGTTGGCTGGTCTTGCGGGCTGGCTAGATTAAGCGCATGTTAGCGCGGGCGCGGACACAGTTGGGGGTACGGGAACTGGGCGGCAGCTTGTGAGCCGCGCGTCCCTGGGTTTCCTGGAGCTCCCCTTACGCTGAGCGCAGAGTCACCAATGCAGGTCCGTATGACTCATGGCGCAGACAGGTGTAAACCGGATTGGTTTGTGCAATGGTGTTGTAAGAGGCTTGGAGTGTCGGGGCGCTACCATTGTTCTTGCAGCAGCACCGCAAACCCGCACCCCAATGCAAAGTTCTCACCTGAGTGAGCGCTTCCGTTTTCGACATCTCCAGGGAGAAGATCTCGGAACCCGTCATCATGGCAAAGGGAGTTTCATCGCCTAACGCCTTTGCCATGCCCATGGCGATGGCTGTCTTCCCCGTACCAGGCTGGCCAGCTAGCAGCATCGCGCGTCCCGCAATTTTCCCTTCCTTAATCATTTGTAGGATGATTCCCGCGGCCTGGTTGGGACAGGGTAGATTGATACCCGTGTCAGCGTATGCATCCCGACACTGCGCCCGCTCCGATACCACGTACCTTGCGGGCTTTGGCCTGCCCAACCATGCCTTGTGACACGGCACGCGCTTCCAGTGCATCATCAAGACCAAGACCACGGATGTGGGAGTGCGCCCCTATGCGCTCTATCCGCGTTAAGTCGCGCACTTCCGCGTTAACTTTCACGTCAGCAGCCGCCATCTTGCTTGGAAGTGAATTACGATAAATATAAAGACAGTTGCACGGCTAAGTTGTGGCCAGCTAAACTTGCAAGTTCACGATCGCACTTCGAAGGTCGTGGAAGTGCCTCAACTCAAGCGCTAGCTATCGCCACACTATGATAGTGTATTACAGTTGGCAGTCATTACAGTAACGTTAGGTGAGGGAGTCAAACATTCCGATCGCAGCCAGCCGTACCCGTACTGATGGTTTCATTCTTCTTTGGCGCCAATTCGGTTAAAGACTCCCAAATGATAAAGTATCAACCCGCATAATAGCTTATGAGGACGGTGTGCCGCGCGATGCTTCAGCGGGAACAGTGTTCTAGAACTTGGTTTACGGAGCCGCGGCGGGTCTAGCAGGGCGAAGGTAATCCTAGCCATCCATCATCAAGGAGGCGCGGACACGAGCGACCTTGTAAAGTGATGGAGTCTCCTTTACGCTGCTGGCGGCGCCAGGTAGTGGGGACCTACGGACGGGGTACACGCAGGAGCAGGACGGCCCTCAGGGAGCATACAAAGACGCCGAAGCCGAGTTACCGTTATGCCGTCGTACCGGTATGCCACCCACCCAGTTGCACTGCCGAAATACGCCGCAGTAAGGAGGGCAATGGCATATTTGCAACACAACAAACCGCTTCTTAGGGACAACCTGCTGATCACCGGACCAAGCTCCTTTTTTCAAAAACCCTCGTATTGCGCACCCCCTGAGCTATACCCTAACTTCCGCGGGTATTTGCTGTGAGGGGTTTCCTTTTCCGCGCCGGGGGATTTCCAGCATGGCAGAGCTAGGTATGAGACAAGGGATTTCCCTCCCAGGAGCGCAATTAGGAAACTGAAAACAGCCCTGTCGGTTAGGCCCACACTACGCCTGGCTGGAGTACGAAAGGCTGCCACCCTCTGGGCTCGCAAGTCAAATCCCCGCACAGTCATCGCAACTGACTTCATCCCGTGGGTGATCTGTGCGTCGCGAGTCCACACACCCAGGGTGTGGTGCTGCCGACACAAGCCCCTCCGCCAAGGCCACTGTCCCTCCGGACGCCGGAACAGATGGCGGCCTGTGACCCTGACACACCAGGTCCATGCATAGGTTACCGCAGTCCCATGGGACACAGCAGTCTCATTGCTCAGATAATCGAGCTATATGGAGCTATATGGCAGTATGAGACGGGGGGGCCCACTCAACACCAGCTAGGAAGCCGATAGCCAGAATGTGCTGGGACCGCACTGGAACATGGTTTGACACCTTGACGGCTCCATGTGGATGAGAGTAACGGGCAGCTTTTTGCCGGAAGTTGAAAGTTGAGAGGAAGGCTTCGCGTGACAGGGTGCATGGACACCCTGGCGATATGGTCATATGGGAGGGGTGCCCGGCCCATGTACGGCAGCCACATCATGGGACTGTCCCTCTTGAAGAGCTTATCCTGGTTTGCGGCGTCATGTGGTGGAGGTGATGGTGGGGGGCTAGGCATCTCGTTATATGCTGCTATCCAGGATTAGCATTATGGTGAGATCTGACTGTGCTACGCTTGCCGTTTCGATTTTGCTGCGCGTCTGCGAATGGGAAGCCTCTTCCAGCCGTACGGTTATCACCACAATAGTGTGTGCCTTCGCAGCAAGGATAGCAGCCTTGCCGGCATTGGTTTGCCGGCATTGGGCCCAGACGAGGAGTGCAGAACCCTCCTTTCCCATCCGTATCCTGTACCCGTCGACCTTTCACCGCAGCCTGACCGCTCTGCAACCGTCCGGCATGGAATTGTACACCAACGAGGATGATGCTAGATCTTATACGTAGAGTACAACTAGGCCCCTGCTCTGGTTGGTTGGCTGTTGGCGAGGTTACTGAACGGGACAACAGGGGGAAACTCAACTTCAAGAACAGTATGGGAACAATGTAGAGAGTGGAGGGATTTGAAAGGAAACCTAACTCGCCCAACAGCTTAGCAAGCAGGGTTCGATGTAGGCCCAAAAAGCATGGGGACACCAAGAGTATTAATGTTCGGTAAACTCCACAATTTTACCAAATCGTCTTTTTATATTAAGACGACTGGGGACTGTGCAAGTGAAACACGCATTGAAGCATGCATGGAATGGCACCTCAAATTTACAGTAGATTAGGTGAATGCGCCACAACGCCGAAAGGATGAGCACGAGGACTGCTATCTCCCTAATGTTGGATACCCAGTCAAACAATTCCCAGCACACAGAACGACACAGCTGGTAATTAGCATCGGCAAGGCAATGCATTTAATTCGATGAAGGTTAGCTGCAAATAAAGAACTGCCTGATCGTCAGAGCATTGCTACCTACAGCCTCTGCCTGCTTCAGTGCACAATTACCATTACATTACCCCACAGCACACCACCACAGCCCAAATGCCGTCTAAGCATCTGACACCAACTCAGCAGCCGAGCTGTACTCTCCATTTGCGCTGAAGTAGTCTACTAGCCTCTTTAGAAATTCGTCGTGCGAAACGGTTTCAGTGTCGCACACAATTGCACAATGCCGTCGCGCCCTGGTTACTGCAACATTCATCCGGCGGCGGTCAGACAGGAACCCGACCTCCCCAGAATCATTGCTGCGAACCATCGATATGATGATGGCCTCCTTCTCGCGGCCCTGAAAGCCATCCACACTGCTAATCTCCAGGGCCGTTGCTGCCTGCTCCTGGCGCAGCTCCTTCAGGAGGGCCACCTGGATGCCGCCAAACACAACAACGATAAAGGGAGGAGTTAACAAGGTGCACATTAAACAAGAGTTTCAGAGAGAATTCCCAAGGGATCTGCTTGTGCGGTACGAGGCATCAGCTGGAAGATTGTCAACCAGTCGGCTGACGCAAATTACCCCACTGTGACAATATATCATTTGCCACGCCCACAAGGCAAGAGATCGGGTTGCCAGAAAGCGGAGTGTGAAATAGAAGGAATGAATGATGATTTGGGTAAGCAGGATCTGCTTGTGCGGTACGAGGCATCAGCTGGAAGATTGTCAACCAGTCGGCTGACGCAAATTACCCATTGTGACAATATATCATTTGCCACGCCCACAAGGCAAGAGATTGGGTTGCCAGAAAGCGGAGTGTGAAATAGAAGGAATGAATGATGATTTGGGTAAGCATGTGCCTTCCGGATCGTCCGCAGCAAGACCAAGATAGCATCAGGATTAAAAAGCTCGTTTTTTGGTTCCTCACAGAGGACCTCAGCGATGGATTTCGGTTAAATTCATCATATGCTGTCTGTGGTGCGGATCATTTCGTGATGGCATGCCTAGTATATGCGGGAGTTGTGTATGTACCCGCTGTAGCAACCGCTTGTGGCATAATCCCGGGAACGCCAGAGGACAACAATGGAGAGCATTACCAATTGCTGATGGGGGCCCTTATGCTGAGTATGACGTCAGTGGACCCTAGTTAAATATATACCGCCCAAGTCGCCGGAATGTCGCTGCCTGGCACTCCCCTGGGAGCTGATTCCTGCCCACAAGCCGTCCCCAGGTACACAACTTCCCCCCCTCCCTCAAGACTCGGGCTCTAGGGCAAACACGCCAATTTCCGTCATGGCCCAACAGTCGTCGCCCAGCGTCAATGTAGCATCAGGATTAAAAAGCTCGTTTTTTGGTTCCTCACAGAGGACCTCAGCGATGGATTTCGGTTAAATTCATCATATGCGGGACGAGGGCATCAGACTGCGACAGCTACCCAACAGTCACAAATTGAAACGCCTTGGGTTCAAGATCACCACACCTGCGCATTGTAGGGCGTGATGATGCCAATGTTGTGCGGCGAAATCCGTCGTTGAACAAGCCGCCGGACATGCGCCATCACGGCCTTCGCCTCCCCTGGATTGGCATAGCTGCTCCCTTCCGCTTCCTGCTGCTCCTCGTACCCGCAGCCCGCAGTGTCGATCAACAACAGCACAGGAAGCGGTCCAGCTTCCTCCGCGCCTACATTGCCTGCACCTGCGCCAGCGCCCCGAGGGGGTAGTGCAGCAGCAGCCTTGGCGGGCTTAATCTTACTGCTCGACCTTTTGGCGCCGCTGGAGGAGGCTGCACTACCCGCCTTGCCGCCCTTTCCTGAAGCTGCGGATTCCGAAGACGGAGCTAAAACCCCAGCAACGTCTACCAAGGTATGATCAGCGACGGTGGAATGTGCAGTCAGACGACCCTGCAGCAATCCAGATAAATTACACACGAACAAATACCGTCAGCATGTGCGCATAGAAACGTAGGCCAGTGCAGGCCGGTCATACAGAGGGCAGACTACGGCAACCGTGGTCATGCGTGTGCAATACGCGCGCCACGACTACACGCACGTGCAATATTTCTGAACCGTGCAACTGTGGCACGTGCCAGCGGCCTACCTCGTACAGCTCATCACTCGACCACTGCATGATGGCCTTGTTCATGCGGTATTGTACAGTCAACATGGCACTGGCAGCAGGCAGTAGCCGTTGCAGCCGTTCAAACAGCGTGCGAGCAAGGCCCTGCGGCAAGGGGTGTCACCAGGCAACAGCAGCAGTGGTAAGCAATAGCAACCACGAAAGGACCATTCCCAGGTTCTCCGCGACCGAAAAGTCGGTTCACTAATTACCCACTATTAATTGGCAGACTGGCGGACTGAGGCAACGCGGCTCGGGGAATTGTAGTCTATTAGGTAAAGCATCAAAGCAAAGGAGCTCAGTCCCGTTTTATCGTCATCGCCGAAAACACCGCCTCAATCCGACCAAGCCATCTCCATCCCAACATCACACCACACAAGGGCAAACCAGGGGGCATCGAGGGTACATCCAGAGATGCAACCTGCCGCCATATAAACCCTGCAATGTTCACCCGACCCTTTTACCCACCATCTTGGCCGCCTCCTCGCTCACAACCGTGGGCGGGAGCTGCAGATGGTCGCCTGCCAGCACAGCCCTCCTCGCCCGAAGCAAAGCGCTCCAGGTAGCCGCCTCCAGCGCCTGGGCCGCCTCATCAACCACCGCCACATCAAAGAGCTCCGACTCAAGCTGCCGGTGCGAGACACCCGTTAGGGTGCAGCAAACCACACGCGCTCCCTTTATTACCTCCACCACCGCCGCCTCCTGACGTAGACGTTCCTCCTTCGCCAGCCGTCGGAGGTCGGAGCGCAGCGCCCGGCGCTCTGCGCGGTCTCGAGGACCCAACTTCAGCAACCGTTGATTGATGTCCTTCATTTCAGCACGGCAGTCCCGAGCCAGTGAGCTGTTGTCTGAGCGGAGGACGTGTGCTTCGAGGCTGCTGTCGAGGACTTGGGGCAGTAGTCGGGCGGGGTGGCCCAGGCGAACTAGCTTCAGCTTGGGCTCCGCACGCACCAGGCGCTCAACCAGGTTGTCGACCTGGGATAACGGTTACATACGAAGCGGGTGCACAAACAGGTTTTTGCGAGCGGTAACATCACTAGCTGGGCTGTAAATGAGTTGCACGCTTGAATGTGACGAAAGCAAGTTTGCCAGAGCACCTGTTTGTACGAACTACTAGCTGCTGTATCACAAGGCTGTGTCGCGAACTTTTCCCCGGCGTCCCACACCATGTTGGGACACGCCTAGGACTGCACACGTCATCCGAAATATGAACGAATGCATCTCACCAGGCAGGTCTAGCATCATCATTATCATCATCATCATTCACTCACCGCGATGTTCGACGCGGCCGCCGCCAGTACACGAGATCCACGAGCGACCTCTTGGAGGATAATCTCCACGACCGCCGTTGTCTTACCAGTGCCTGTGATGGAGCAGTAGTGGGGGGTCGCCATGAATTCATGAAGAGCAAAGTGCTAAAACAACCAAGGTACTCGTGAGCTATATGTGGCTACACCACGACACATAGACGCCCCGGGATATTGGCGGCAATGTCTGGAGGGGCAGCGCAGGTAGTTAGTTTTGCGAACGATTTTAAGCAAGCACAGACCGTTCGCACGCCATGCTCACTCCATTAACGTCGCGTGAGACTGTTCATCTAGCAACTGAAGAATATGCACAGCGATGAGATGACATCTTGACCATTTGCAATCCTGACCACTTGCAATCCTGCAAATGTGCGAGCGATATCCTAACGAGCGCGGCACGGCTGAAGGGCCACGTCCGCCTCAAACGAGCACGAAGGTCTTCTCGCAGCTTTGTAGAGACCAGGCGCCATCGAGGCAAAAGGCGCAGGGTCTGCTGAAAGCTGCTGGTGCTTGATTTCTCCACCTAATCCTAAAGAGAACACTGCTGCCTACTTTGGTAGATGTTTAACTGTCAAACAGCGCACCACGAACATCCACCGAGTTCACAAGGCGGCCCACCTGGCGGCTCGTGCACCAGCGCCACATCCTGACTGGACAACGCAAGCGAAACAGCTGCGCGCTGCGATTCGTCGAGGCCACGATTAATCGCTGTCCATGCCGGCGCCGATTCCGTAAACCTCGGCTCCCGGCGACCAAACACCACATCAACCACCGCCCCACCGGGCAGGAATCGCCCGTCCGGGGTCGCCGCGGTGCCTCTCCGAACACGCAGAAGGGCGTCCAAAGTTCCCCGCATGCGTTGATAGGTAACCTCGTTTGCAAGTTTATCAAGACGCAGCTGCTGGTCCAGGCCCTCCTCGGGAGCCTCATCAACAGCCACGATGATGGCAGTTTCGCGGACGCGGTAGATGACGCCAGAGACGAGCGGGGGGGCGTCCGAGGGGCCGCGACTGGGCCTCAGGGCGACCACATCGTGGGGACCGAACTTATGCGGAGGCAGCTCCGCTGTGCCGGCACCCGCGCCGTAGCCCTTGTTTGACACCAGGGTGAGGAGCGTGCGTCCGAGGAGGCCGACCTCGACGTCATCAACTCTGAGGTTGAGCAGTGCCCGCCCACGAGCCTGTGGAGCGCAGAGGAGGGCAAAATACATAATCCTGGAAAAGCCCAAACATTGATACTGCAGACAGGAAGTAAACGTGGTGATAGAGAAACGTGTAACGGACCGGCACACGTCATTTGTGACTCAAATGGAAAGTTTACAAAAGAGGCTGACTTTAGCACGGCGGGCTTGGCTAACGTGCCAATTGGCCGCACCTGAGCAGCTTCGGGGGAACAAAGCGACGTTTCGGCATTGGCTTGCGCTATCTCAGCCTCCCGCTCCATGTCAATGAGCCGGCGGCTGAGCTCAACGAAGGTCTCCACCGTCGCGGGATCATCTTGGGCCCGTGTTTCGGACCTAACCTGGGCGCGGCCGGCCTGTCGGCCAGCGGCAGACGTGCTTGGAAGATGGTCCGTTGCGTCAATGCCCAAATGCTCTAGTAGGGCTGCACATAAGTCAGCAACGGAAAAGGCGCCCCCTGACGGCGCCGCCACATTGACCTGCGTCAACACAGGGGTAAAATTAGCAATGAAATAGACATTCGCATTAGAAAAACGAAGCAGTTCACGACCTGTACATGCATGTATGCTCACCTTGCGTGCTCCAGCCTTGCGCGAACCAACCATGATAAAACGGCCTTCGCCTGACCCATCGCTGGCGTGATGAAGTCCATTTTCCTCGGCTACTTCATGAATTAAGGCTCGCTGACGAGCACTCAATGAGGGTGGGAAGACCACCTGCAGCGCGCAATTCATCAACGTTGGTTCAGTCATGAGGAAAGTGACGTGCGCTGAACGTTTAAGGTACGCTCTCAGCCGCAGTCACCTATCCTAAGGAAAATTAACTCACCAGCACTTCATTAGTCCCCGCTGCTGGCTGAGCGGGCGAAGAGAGCGGGGCGGGCAGTGGAGGTCAGAAGGCACGTCGCTCCGCATGACAGGAACCTCTGTAACCAGGCGTCTAGAGCTCGCGGCCAAGAGCGCCTGGCGATTCGCACACATCCAAGGCGAGTGCACACCTTGCCGGCATGTCCTTTGGACGCCATTCGCACCAATGCCCACAAGGAGTACTCGGTACATCAGCTGGTGCAAAGTGAAAATACTACGGAAAGACATGACATTTTGTACTCAAGGCAGCCGTCTCAGCCTCCCAAGCTCCGAAGCTGTAACATTCGTACTGCCTACCTTAATGCCAGAAAAGTGTTTACACCGATGCACTCCTTACTCTCTAGGTATTTTAGGAATTCATGGAATACAAAGACAGGTTTGTGCTTCGGGGCTCTGTAGTACTGCACTGTACGTAAACCTCCTCCCTCGTAGCTCATATCAATGGCCAGAGAAGATTTAAGGCGAAAGGCATTTGATGGAACGTGCTCATATATTCGCAGGAACACCTAAACCCACCGCTTCATACTCCAGCAGGCTGTGTACGTGTTCAGAAGAATCGCCTCCCCTGACTCCAAAAGCCGACACCCTTCCTCACTGCCCTGGCAAACCTGGGAAGTTATATGTTCATGCACATGACCTAATCGTGTAATCGTGTTATCACACACCCCTGCTCGCAGCTGCTTGGTCACACCCAACGTGCAACAGTCCACAACTCCTCGGAGGGAAGGCATTTCGAGTGCCCCCTTGGTCGCACCATCTTTTGCGTGTTGGGCATCAAAATTGGCGTACAGCTCCACCCAGCTCCCACCTGGCCTAATCTTGCGACAAGGTCGTCTTGCGACAATTAACCCTCATACCTACCCTAACCCTACCTCCGCCTGTCGAGGGGCAGCCTCTCGCCTTCCCTTTCCTCTCTCCCACCCTGGGTGAAGCCGTTGGACACGGTCCTAATCTAAAATACAGAGTCCGTGAAGCTCAAAGTCCGCGGACGACATTTTGGCGAAGACGGTTTACCTCATGCGGGGGGAAGCACCGCAGAGAGAAAGGGCACCCGTGCGCGCAGGAAAGTGGAAACAACGCCAGCTTCCCTGGCGCTTAGTAGCGGCTTGGTATTCGGCCCTCTCACCCAACCCCATCTCCTAAGCCCATCTCCTATGCCCATCCCTAAGCCCATGCGACCATCAATGATCCTAGTACGGCGTTCCTCAAAACTGAGAATACATTCACCACTTGCACCCACCCACCACGGCAGAGTACGGATCGCAGAGCCCAGACATACAGCCCGATCATGCAATACACGAATAGAGATCACAGAGGGACGACGGGGAATTTACTGGGGAGGGGGAAGGCAGGACGGGACCGAAAAAGGGATAAGGAAAAGCGGCAAGCCGAAAACCGCCCACAAATCAGGCCGGAGCAGAAAACGAGACGGAAGATGAAGTACGGCTACGAAGCGAAGAGACGGGATCAGCTTGAGAGTCATCAGGCCATTGGGAGGGCATACGGTAATCTGGAGTTCGTGTTCCTCGAGTTCGTCGCCCATTTCTGTCGCGTCCTACTGCCACCACCACACGGTGGTGGTAGTAGCCTGCTCCTGCAGAGCGCCGTTGCAGTTAGGTATTTTGCAAGTGAGCACCAGAGCAGCTGAGGTCCAAGGTTGCCGGCGCGAGCGCAGCCCCCCGAGGACTTTAGATACGAACCGCCTGCAGCTGCCTCTTGGGCGTTGTTGTCCTGTTGCTGATGTGCGCGGTCCTGGCGAACACCGCGCTTTCCTCCTAACGATACTCATGCAAGTCAGGTCACCCAGAAGCTCTTCTCAGCGCATCGCTTGCGCACGAGGGCATTCCTTTGGGAAAAGAGGAACGGCGCTCGCCGCTACTCTGCACCTGCTAATCCACCTTGCTGCGAAGGTGTTCGACTGTTGGCGCCCCGGCCGAGCTGACATTAAGCGGGCCCAGGTTGGCCTTTTGGTTTTGCCGCCCCTTCACGTGTAGTCAAGTCTGCGAACCCTTAAGGACATACTTACTCCCAATCCTCGCGCCAAAAAGAGTGCAAACGACACACTCTCTCTCTCTCTGTGCCCCCTCTGCCCACCCTCGCGCGAGGACGCCTCACCCGCTTGCCGTAACCAAGCGTACGCGATGCCAGGCCCCTCCCCCCGCGGCAGCCGTCCCTACGACATAGTCCTGTTGGGCGCATCGGGGTCCTACGGCACCCTGGCAGCGCAGCAGCTGCTGCACTGGGCGCCCCCACGCACCCGGTGGGTCCGGACCCCGAAGCACTCTCAGTTCACCAGGGTAGGGGGGGATAGCCGGGGGGCCGCCATCATGGGACTGCCACACCCCCAGGTTGCTCCAGCGTCCGCTGCTGGGTCTCCGCTGCGGACTACTCCGCTGCGGGTGCAGCTCGCGGAACACAACATAGTGCAATTCATGCAGAGCAACCTCCGCATTCATAACCCGCAACCCGCAGAAGATTGTTCCATTTTTGACCTTATTTTGTCCGGGGGCCGGCTGAGCCGCTCTAATCCGTGTTCTCGAATCATCCCAAAAATTGCAGAATTGCCCTGGCGGGTCGAAACCCAAGGAAACTTCATGACTTTCTAGGGAGGTTAATCGCCCAGGGAGCTGCTGGCAGCGCCGGCACACGGCGTGAAAGTGCCATGAACCACGAAGAAGATGATGGTGGCGAATGCGATGAGGCCGCACGGCTCGGTCCGGAGATCACTGTGTACGAGCCGGCCGTCGACATGTACGATACCGTGGAGCTGCTCGTTATGGCAGCTTCGACAGCAGTCGTGGCGAGTGCCGTACGTGCCGATAGCGCCGCGGCCTCGGATGCGGTCATCGCTGCTTGCATTGCTGGCGGTGCCCATTACACGGACTTGCAGCCAAAGCCGGGTACGAGTGTCAGGCAGATACTTGGGACCTGTCTCGCTGCTTCAACCATGGCCGCCCCGGCTTTTACGGACACCCCTGCACTTGTGCGGAACTTGAAACTTATTACATACGACTAGTGGATACCGTATGAATTGATGATTTTATCCGTAAGGAGCTTCAACTCGATGTACGATAAATGTTACGGCGGTGGAAGGTATGCAATGCGTCCACTCATGCTATTCATGGAGGTAGCCATGCAGGACAGGGCAGTGCAGCGCACCGCGACACGCAGGCAGACAACAAACCCGTTCCGGACCATTCACACCCCGGACCGTATATATATTGTTGTTGTTGTTACATGGTCGTGGGTGCGTTCCCCGTACCTGCAAACCACCCTAGTACGAGCCGAGGGCTCAAGGGCTGCCAAATCGCCTATAAGCACCATCCTACCTCGCACTTCCAGCGAAACAAGTGATGAAGTATACTAACGACCAAAGGGAACGATAGAGTTGCGGTGAGACCATATACGTTCCAGCATCCTTGCCAGGCGTTCAGGTTCCCACTTCATAGCGTCCTTCATATGTTCGAAGCGTGGAAAGCCCATATCAGATCTGATTCCGTCGTAAACCGGGCAGTCCAGCAAAATGTGTTTCTCATCCTCGATGTGGCTACCAGTGCCGCAGCAAGGGCATACTCGCTCCTCCCTAGGTATATAACGCCGTCCCTTACGCGTTCTGTTAGCCGCCAGTGCCCAACAGCAAAGCCTAAACTGCATAAGCTTGCGATTCGCCGAACGTGGGATAAACATTGTGATGTGCGGGAGCACCTCCTTCCTGCCCGCTTGCTCGGCCGCCAGCCCCATCCAATGCTTATATATATATTCTCCTCCTGCTGCACCCACTAACTCGTTACGCCTCCCATGCGTGCGCAACCCAAAGACGCGCTGCAGCACATGCTGAATTGCTTCGATGCACCCGCCCGAGAAGCGCACGTGCTGCTGGCTCCGGGCTGCGGTTTCGACTACGCGGTTCCCGACGTCGCGGCGGCACTGGCAGAGCGGGGCGCGCGGGCAGCTCTCGGCCGGGCTCCCGTCCGGTTGCGGCAGGTGTTCGCAGTCCGCCCGGGACCGCATTCTGGTCCCGTGTTCAGGTGGGGAGGTGGGGCGGAGGGAGCCGGGGTCCGGGGGGGGGAGGTGAGGGAGTGAGGGGGTGAGAGGGGGACGAGGGTGGGAGAGGGTGGGAAGGTAGGTGAGAGGTGAGAGGGGGTGGGAGGGGGAAAATGCTGCTGAACGGATGGGTTAGGACGCCTTGGTGCCCTTCACGGCAAGGACTTGGTAGATCCTGTGCTCGCATGTACTCCGCTGCACACACACACACACACGTGACCCCTCTGTGTCCGTCTTGAACAGCGCCAAGTGGATCGATGCGTTACTCACGAAGCCAAATCAGCAGCCACAGGGGCGTCGGGCGGCTGAGACGTATTCGGCACAGCACCACTTCCTTGCCGGAGGAGGTGCTGGCAGTGGTGCCAGCGGCGAAGGCATTACCGCAGCCAGCTCTGCCGGTGCCAGGGGTGCAGCTGCAACGCTGCAAGGCGGTGGTTGTGCTGGCGGCACGGAAGCATGTGTCGTCAGCGACCCGGGCAGCGCTTCTCACTCTCGGGCTGCGAAGGATGTACTTTGGAACCCGCCACCCAGTTGGGGCCCTTGGCTGAGCTACTGCCCAGAGCTGCACGCCTGGACAATACCCTTCCCCTTAGGAGGCGCCGCCGCGCGGTTTCTGTTCGCCTGGCGACACCAGCTCGAACGCCAAGAACAACATAAGCAACAGGATCAAGAGGAACGGCAACAGCAGCAAGAGCTGGGGCGGGAGGGCGGTGCCGTAGGCCCCACGTTCTGGACTAGGAATGATTCCGCAGCCGCCGCGGGTTCCGTTTCTCGGCTGGAGCCAGAGCCGGAGCCGGAGCTCGACTCGCGCATCGTCCTGCCACTACCGGTGCTGGCGCCGCTCCCGCCGGGCCGTACTGCCCTGGCGGTGCTGGCGGCGGCGCCCCTGCTGCCCCCGCTGCTCTGCCTCTGCCTGGCGCTGTGCTGGCTAGCACTGTGGTTGGTGGTGGTGCCCAGCGTGGCATTGCTGCTGGCGGCACGGCAGTGGACGTGTGGGGTTGTGCTGTTGCGCCGCTGGCTGATAGTACTGAGCTTGGGACTCCTAACAGATGACGAGGCTCGGGCGGCCCAGGCGGTTTCAGAGCTCCGGTTTGAGATGGTGCTGACGGCGGGGGCCTTCCCGCCGGCAAACGCACCTGCCGACAGGCTGGCGGCGCCAGCTGCCGCGGCGGAGGCCGCTGCCACGGAGGCCGCGGCCCTTAGCCATGGTACCACATACCAGAGGCAGCGGCGGCGATGCCAGGTATTTCGAATGCATGTGGCGGGGCCGGCCGCGGGCAAATGGCACGACCTCACATCCGCCTGCCTGGCACGTGCGGCGCTGGAGCTGTTAGCAGCAGCAAAGGCCGAGGCGATGGCAGCGGGGTCGGTGCGGCCGGCGCCTGGCGCTGGAGAGTTGGCGGCAGGTTCAGTACTGGTTCCGGAGCCCGCTCACGCAAGCAGCCTTGGTAGGACACGGGTTGAAGGATATGCATTGAGCGCGCTGAGGCGGGGCGGCGGCCTGATTACTCCCGCACAGCTCCTGGCGGGCTCCGGGGAACAGTGTGTATTTTGGGATGCGCTGCAGCGTGACCTTGGAGTGGAGGTACGGCAGGAGGTCCTCCCAGCTGAGTACTAGGTGGGAGAGAATGATGGGCACTAGGTGGTGGACGATTCAGGTGCTGTCCGCAGCCATGCGTGCTTAGGACCTTCCCATGCTCATGTGTACGTAATGTGCGAGGGGCATCATGTACAGCAGGGAGGTAGGGCGGCAGCGGGTTCTCCACGCTGGGCCATTTGCCGTTGCGGTGGCGACGGTCGTGACAGCGATTGGATCCCGGCTGTGTTCACACAGGAGCCGAAAGGGTGGGTGTGTCGGGCGCTAGCCGCAGCCGTTTCGTTGGCCTGAGCCCGACGAGGATCGCGGTAAGGCCTGACGGGTGGCTTCTAGGGTTTGGGCCTCCGCTTGCGCACCGGTTGGCCGCGCATGCGGCCGACGATGGTACGAGGCCCTCCGACAGACCCGCCTCCCCAGTGAGGATGGGGCCCCCATCCTCCGTGACGTTTTTCTTGCAGTATAGATGCATCCTAGCATCCAAGGAACTTGGGACCCCTCCCGTTTAGTTTTCGGCGGTACTCTGGGTTTTGTTTTCTCCTCCTGAAAGGCCGAACGCTAGGGTGAAATCGATGAGGAGTGCTTAAGGACGTTCAGAGACAGGACGTGAGTACAATTTCCGGTGTCGCCCATAGCTCGGGCTAGATTGTCGTGGTAAATTTTGACAAATTCTTAAAGTCTCCTTCTGTCCCAAATGGTCAAACATACCAAAGTTGGGCCGCAGATTTCATAACCGGGCGTATCGCGATTGTAAACCCTAACAAACGTATAATCGATTTGCACAAGAAAAAATAAAGCCATGGCAGCTACAACAGGTCATGCCTTTGATATCTTTGATATCTTTCATCACGTGCAGGATCTTGTTGCCACATGACAACGGTCTATAGAGCGATGTCATCCCCAAGAACGGCAAGAGGAGTATGCGTACCCAATCTCCTGCGCGAACATAGTTGATGCCGGTGCACATGGAGTTGTGTTAATGCGGCGTTAGCTCCGGCGTTTCAGTAGGTAAGGCCCTATTCCTGAGGCAACTCAGGATACGCATACTACAGACTTCATTACATGTGTAAAAATTACATCACATCTCAAATAAATAAAACGCACGAAAAGAGGCGGCCTAGAAAGGATTTGTCATGCCGTACGCGTGCTTTCCCAACAATAAAGCTATGATCAACTGGAAATGTTTTCTGTAAAGCGTTTGTCCATCTGGTGACGTATAAAACTTTTTATCAATTTTAATGAAAGATTACTTTGCTTACTGATCTAGGGCGGCACGTGCAGCATTCGGCCTGCAAACGAGGACTAGCCACCATCTAACACGCATTTGTGTGAGTTACGTGGATGATCATCAAATGACAATGCGGGATGGTATCATCACTTCTGCTTCCGTTGGGCAGGGAACGCCGAACAATGGTTGGCACAAATATGTTCGAGAGCGTCAGAGGCCGCTCCGCAAAAGAACTGTTTGTTGGCACATATGATTTAAAATATCTCTGCATGGTAAGGTAAAGATCAGGCTGTACTATGTGGATTTTCTACGGCTCCCGCGAAGTTCTGACCTTTAATGACATTGCTGGCTCTCCATGCAGCCTGTTTTTCCTTACCGCCGTAACGGTAAGGGAGTGCCGCCTCCACGGTTCTTCGGAGTCCATGAATTCCTTGGTAAGTTTTTGCGCATGTTGTACTTGGGCCTTTGGCTTCACGTGCGTTGGATAGTTGCAGCAGGAATAAAAAGTGTTCTAGTTGGGATCAGCTGCGAAGCGCATTTCTCTGGCGACAGCACAGAGGATAATGGTGTAACTTCTGCAAGCCCTAGAGGTCGTCTGGAGTTACCTGCTAGCAATGTCCCTTAAATTAAAATAAACACTTTGCAATTACACGTATGTATTATATGCATATTATGAGCCGTTTGTACCGATCTGTCTTTCAGGTATCTTCGTCGCACTCGTGATGGGTCTTCAGCATGCGCTCGCGATGGTGGGCGGCCTGATTACACCACCGTTGCTTATATCTAACCTGGCTTTTGGGCGTCGTCCGATCACAAATATACCTTACGCGTCGGGAAATCCTTCCGAAATTCAACGCTGTAAGTGCGTTCTGTGCGTCCTATCCTATTGCGTGCCAATTGGAGGGTGCGAGCCATGTTAATGAATCTTGCCTTTTTCCAAAGGTAGGGATTTATTTATTATGGTTGAATTTGTACGGCATGGACGTACAGAAACCCACCACACTGTCCTTCCCTATCGACGGCGCTGTCAAAGCGGTTCATGAGCCTCCGGGTTCGTTTGGGCCGTACGAGCTCGCTGAAGCTTGTAACATCCATCCATGTCCTTCCATATTTGCTTGTACTCTGTTAAGCGAATCCTAAGGCCTCATACGCCGTGCACACAAGTCCTAGCTCCACTAGCTCCGAAATTATGACATGGCCACGCACGTGCTCCGGAAGCTCGTTAACTAACTACACAACATTACAGTTTCCTTGATAGGTGCCTTGCTAGGTGTTGGGGGCCGTACGTCTCCAATTTCGTTCACAGAAAGCTTGGATGTTTCCTGTACGAGTTGCCGTATGTTACAGGGTTAAACCTTGACGAGGGTTACCCACGTGCATATCCGTACATGCGGGGATCAGCCAGGGGCCTCCTCCCTGCTCAGTCGAAATAGCTTGAGTCCCGTGGCCCCCTTGGTTGCCTAAAAAGGCGCTACGCCGGCTTGTGCTCTGGGTCGTCTGGCAGCCCCATGATGTGATGTGTGTGTGTATTCCTCCGGACGAAGGAAGCACGAAGGAAGCACAGCCCGTTTCGTTAGGAAGCCGTATCTCATCATACAGTTTGATGATTGCATGAGCACATCGCACGACATCCGGAGCAAGTAGCATGTCTTCGCCATTCCCAACACATGCAACTGTTTGTTTCTGTCCCGCCCGCCGCTCGTCGCAATAATAATCCTGTTTTCCTCGCGCCGCTTTTTCTCCCGCCAATTTACCTCGTTGGCCCGTTTCCCCGTATTCCAAATTCAAATGTTATCGCAGATCTGGTGCAGGCTTCGCTCATCGTGTGCGGCATCATGACCTTTGTCCAGGTGGCTGGGTTCCGCATCTTCAGGTCTCCCTTCCAGCTGGGCGCCGGTGTACTCAGCTGCATGGGCGTGTAAGTCCGTTGTTGCTTTCGTTGGTCGTTGTTGTCGTTGGTTGTTGTTGTTGGTTGTTGTTGTTGTTGGTTGTTGTTGCTTTCGTTGGTTGTTGTTGTTGTTGGTTGTTGTTGTTAGTTGTTGGTTGTTGTTGTTAGTTGTTGTTGCTTTCGTTGGTCGTTGTTGTCGTTGGTTGTTGTTGTTGGTTGTTGTTGCTTTCGTTGGTCGTTGTTGTCGTTGGTTGTTGCAGACATAGTGGTGTTATAAAGGGGATGGTGTTGAAGAGGGTCAGGTGTGATGAGGTGGACGTATCATCTTCTGCCACACGCCTGCTACTGGAGGCGGAACACTTTCGTCACTGCACCTTTAGGGCCCCTCGCGGGGGCCCCCCCAGCACCCCTTGACGCAAGGCACCGTGCGGCGGTCTGGCGGGGTCGGCACAGCTCAGCTATCACAGGCCAGAAAAAATCGTTCTGCTATGAATAGACTGCTATCCCCTCTCTACCCTGGTTCCCTCGCGCCTTCACACCTCCACCACCACCATTTCCACTGGCGCAGGTCCTTTACGACGGTCCCGATCGCCACCTCAGTCATAAACGTGCTCATGAAGGAGCAGGGCTTCACGTTTGAGGAGGCGTACGGCAAGCTGCTGGGCACTTTGATGCTGTGCTCCATCATCCCCACCATTCTGTCGTTCTTTCCAATCAGGATCATCAAAAAGATCTTCCCGCCCATTGTGTGCGGTGTGGTGATCATGCTGATCGGCGTACACCTCATTGCTGCCGGGTTCAAGGTACGTACGACTGCTGCCCCTGGGCCCCGGGGGGAGGGGTGGAGGTCCTAGATGGGTGGATGTCGATGTTGGGGGGGGGGGCTTCTCGCAGGGGTTGCACGCCGTGACGTGGCAGTGACGAGCATGCAAAGCTGGCGCCAGAGCTGCCGTACGGCGCATGCAACGACGGGGTGTAAACGGCAGGATTGTATTATATATTAGGATACTAGGAAACCGCTCTACCCTGTCCTACCCTACCCCTTCCAAAGCCACACAGCCGCACACAATACCCTACTATCAATAGTAGCTAATCCTCCTGCTTTGCTGCCTTGCTGCTGCTTTGCTGCTGCTGCTGATACAGAACTGGGGGGGCGGCGCCTTCTGCGCGGACAACTACCTGCACGGACCCACCCCGACGACCTTTTTAAATGTGCCCAGCAAACTCGCCAACGGCACCACCATCTACAAGAACGTCACCGCATACGTGGCTCCCGGTGTCAAGTGCGGGGACCTGACCAAGACGGAGGTGCAACTGCCATTCGGGTCGCAGCAGTACATTGGACTGGGCTTTATCGTATTCTTGTGAGTTCATCGCAGTGTACGACATATGTACGAGCATAGGAACATGCTGATCATGTGTGGGGCGACCGAATACAGCTTCTGGCCGCAGTGGCAGTGGTTGCGACCCCCTCCGCCCCCCAGGGTGCTTAGAGGAGAGGAGAGGAGAGGAGGAGCAGTCTCCAGTGCGGGTTTTGCTGCCTGGCTGCGTCCGTGGGTTCCCCCCGGCCCCCGTGTCGGGTGCTGTGACGGGCTTCGTACAGGAGAGAGCAACGACGAGTGCTCAAACGCCGCTCTTGCTGAAAGGATGGACACATGCATGCTTGCCATGCCCTGTATGACTAGTATGTATGTATTTACGTATTATGTATGTATGTATGTATGTATGCATCCTTCCTCCCTTCCCCCGCCAGCTCCATCATCTTTTTGGAGATCTTCGGCTCCCCCTTCATGCGCAATGCCTCCGTCATCCTGGCGCTGCTGTTTGGCTATCTGATTGCCGCGTGCATCAAGTTCGAGGGCAAGAAGTACGTGGTCACCACCAAGATTGACCAGGCCCCGGGAATTACCTTTTTGTGGACGCGGACCTTCCCCATAGGTACGGGGGTATCCGGTGTTGTATGTATCGGTTGTTTGGTCGTGAGGGCATGTGGGTGGGTGTGTGAGTGACGTAACAGACACAGCTTATGCGAGTACTTACATAACAGCGTATGTAAGCGGGACAACGGGACACGTTGTGCTTGTTGACAGGGGTTGACGGTGTTGTTGATTATCACACCACAGGAGGGTGGGGGTAAGTGCCGCCAGGCGGGGCGGCGCATTGCTATCTAAGAATACGTTAATGCTGCTACTGCTGCTACTGCTACTGCTACTGCTACTGCTACTGCTACTGCTACTGCTACTGCTACTGCTACTGCTACTGCTGCTGCTGCTGCTACCTCCGGAAGTCCGTAGGGAAGGCGCACCGAAGGTCATCCGAAGGCCGACAGGGTGGATCTTGTTCCCACGTGCCGTACCTCGGTGGGGTCCTCTGCAGCTTGCTGCGGACTCTCCACATAATCCTACCTTGCCTCCATGCCCCGACTGCCGCCCCCCACCCGGCTCCCGCGCAATGACTCCCTGTCAGGGTTTTACGCTCCCGCTATAGTGCCGCTCTGCATCGTGTTCATCATCACCTCCATCGAGACGGTGGGCGACACCGCGGCCACCCTGGAGGCCTCCCGCATGGCGGTGGACGGTCCGGATGCCACCCGCCGCATCAAGGGCGCCCTCCTCAATGACGGCGTCAGCGGCTTGTTCTCGGCACTCGCCACGTCACTGCCCCTCACCACCTTCGCACAGAACAACGGTGTGTGTGGCTCTCCCCAAGCCCCTCCAGGGATGGTGGGGATGAGGGGAGGCGGGAAAGGGTTGAGGCTCCGATGGCGGTGGTGGTTGGAGGGTTGGATAGCAACGGGTGTTCTGGCTCGGTGTGGCCTTGTGTATGTGTGTATGTGTGTATGTGTGTATGTGTGTATGTGTGTATGTGTGTATGTGTGTATGTGTGTATGTGTGTATGTGTGTATGTGTGTATGTGTGTATGTGTGCATGTGTGCATGTGTGCATGTGTGTATGTGTGTATGTGTGTATGTGTGTATGTGTGCATGTGTGCATGTGTGTATGTGTGCATGTGTGCATGTGTGTATGTGTGTATGTGTGTATGTGTGTATGTGTGTATGTGTGTATGTGTGTATGTGTGTATGTGTGTATGTGTGTATGTGTGTATGTGTGTATGTGTGTATGTGTGTATGTGTGTATGTGTGTATGTGTGTATGTGTGCATGTGTGTATGTGTGCATGTGTGTATGTGTGTATGTGTGCATGTGTGCATGTGTGCATGTGTGCATGTGTGCATGTGTGCATGTGTGTATGTGTGTATGTGTGTATGTGTGTATGTGTGTATGTGTGCATGTGTGTATGTGTGTATGTGTGTATGTGTGTATGTGTGTATGTGTGTATGTGTGTATGTGTGTATGTGCCCCTCTGGGGCCCCCCTTAGGTAGGTAGTTCGTTGGGGGCACTATGCATGTGTCGTATGTCGCTACGTGTTATTGGTCGTTTGTTAATATTCTCCCCCCTAGGCCTTCCGTTGCAGCCCCCAAGCCTCAAGATTATGGGGCACCGAGCGCTGTGCATATATGTCTTCCTATCCTATATGTTGCATGCTGATGTGAAGTCCTCGTTCCCCCCCCCTCCCCACCCCCTCCTCCCCACCAACCGGGTGTGCCGCCCCTCAGGTGTCATCTCACTCACCAATGTGGCGAGTCGGCAAGCGGGTTTCGCGGCGGTGAGTGAGCGGCGGCGGCCCCCCTCCCCCGGGGTGC